CACACTCATGCCCTCATCCCCCTGTTGTCTGTGTTCATTGGTTAGACTTATATGCATGCATACAAGTACTTTGGTTGATCTCTCCCTCTTACCCCCACCCCCCCTCACCTTCCCTCTGAGGTTTGATGGTCTGATCAATGTTTCTCTGTCTCTGGCTCTATTTCTGTTCATCAGTTTATGTTTTTCATTGTATTCCATAAATGAGTGAGATCATGTGATATTTATCTTTCTCTGACTGGCTTATTTCACTTAGCATAATCACTTAGCTCTCCAGTTCCATCCATGCTGTTGCAAACAGTAATAACTCTTTCTTTTTTACCACAGCATAGTATTCCATTGTGTAGATGTACCACAGTTTTTTAATCCCACGCATCTGCTGATGGGCACTTGGGTTGTTTCCAAAACTTAGCTGTGGTGAATTGTGCTGCTATGAACATAGGGGTGTATATATATCCTTTTTAATTGGTGTTTCTACTTTCTTGGGATATATTCCTAGAAGTGGGATCACTGGGTCAAATGGGAGTTCCATTTTTAGTTTTTTGAGGGAACTCCATACTGTTCTCCACAGTGGTTGCACCAATCTGCATTCCCACCAGCAGTGCACGAGGGTTCCTTTTTCTCTGCATTCTCACAAATTATATACTTTTTAAATATATATATTTTTTATTGATTTTTTACAGAGAGGAGGAGAGAGAGATAGAGAGCTAGAAACGTCAATGAGAGAGAAACATCGACCAGCTGCCTCTTGCACACCCCCTACCGGGGATGTGCCTGCAACCAATGTACATGCCCTTGACCGGAATCAAACCTGGGACCTTTCAGTCCGCAGACTGATGCTCTACCACTGAGCCAAACTGGTTTCAACACAAATTATATACTTTTAAATTTAATTTAATCTTTTGCAGGCACATCGTTTTACTTGTAATAAACTTAATGCTGATTAATATGCTCTCTTCTTACACTTGGATACAGATGACTATGTGGAAGCATTTGTTAGTACTAATTCTTAGTGCTCATGCGTTTTACATCTTCAATGAGTATTGGCTTCCAGGTGATTCCAGTGTGTGGCCAAGGCTGAGAACCCTGGCAGTGTTACCAGAATAGGAGTTCTTTGTGGATCCCCCAGGGAAGACCCACTGGCTAAGAGCACACAAGTTGGACAGGAAATGCATCTATTTGCAAGTGACATTACTGCAGGTCAGAGGTCAAAATGCCACTCCATGTCAGGGCGTATAAATACCCATAGTTGTATGCAGAACTGAGTAAGTAGGCCATTCCCACCGATTGGTACTAATCAGCCATGTCAGGTTAAGGAAGGTTCTCAGCCAAGTCTCCCTACCACCACGCATCCCCTGACACCCCTAAAATGCTGTAACAACAACAACAAATCCACAATCAAAGAAGCAACCCTGGCTTGGAGGAAATCTACCCAATGGAAGTGTTTCCCCTTTACATCTCCCGCAGGCAGCTCTAACTTGAGTTTGCTCCTGGTCAAACCCAGTCCCTGGGGTCTTTCAGCCAATTATCCTTGGCTGAAAAGCCAGTGTGGGCAGGCACTTCACATCCACTATCTGCCATCATCTCACCAAGCCTGCAAGGCACACATTCCTATCTTCATTTTACAGATGGCAACGTGAGGGAGCCTTTGGATCATACTCTGGAAAACTGTTTGAGGGGGTGGTCTGGGTTTGAAGGTGTAGGAGGGGACCTAAGGTAATCTGCTCTCTCCTGTCCCTCAGGCCTAAGCCCCTGATCCAAGGCTCCTGAAAGCAAAACATTCAGTTCTTGTTCTCAACAGGCTTTGCTTTTCCTGGTCTCCTCAGGTCTGATCTGGTCTTTTCTCTCCTCCCTCCAGCACAGGGTCCCAACATTTCACCATCATCTTGTTCACTTGGACCAGAGTTTCAGCTAGACCAGACCCTGCAGTGTGCAGGGGGAGGAAAGCTGCAGATAAAGATTAGATGGCTAGAATATTGTAATAACCATGTATAGTGCCAGGGGGTACTAGACTTATCAGAGATTTCATGTCACATTCTTAATCACTATGTTGTACACCTGAAACGAATATGATATTATACATAAACTATAACTGAAAACAAATTTAATTTTTTAAAATTCTTCCCACAGTTAACATAAAAATAAAGGCCTTTTGAAGTAGGGAATAAAGACTAATTGATTAAGCAGACAAAGCCTAAGGGTGGTGCTCACTTATGAAAATGTTCAAGCTCTGAGTGGAAAATGCAGATTACACAATGTCAAGTATAAGTTTAATTCTGTGAAGTCTATGCATGCTATACATATGTGGTAAAACATGGGAAAGCTTCAATTAAATGTTAATGATGAGGGAGACTGGTATCTTAAGTATTATTTCCAAATTTTGATACAATGACCGTCTCTTACAGGGAGCCGCCATGGCAGTATCATACAAAATATCGTCAGTGCCCTAAAAATCCCTTTTCACCTGTTCCTCCTTCTCTCCCTCCTCCCTACCTGACAAGCTGTCCCTTCATCCTCTGAACGGCTCCATCCACACCGAAAAGCTTTGTAGCCGGTGGGTTCTAAATCCTTACAGAACCAGAGAACCTTCCTCCCAGATACCCTCACCCCACAGGGTTTTACACACCTGCGCTAAGCTTAACTGTGCACCCCTGTTTGTGTTACCCCCAGAAGGCCCATCTTAGAGCCAGAGACACCTGCATTCGGGTGTATGGGAAATCACAGTTTTCTCTGGGAACAATGATTGTGTATAATCTTTCTGTTTTGTTAACAAAAACCCAGTCAACCAGTTTTCTCAGAACCAAGGAAAGGCTCGCCTGAAAGGTGAATTCAAATATCCTCCTCTCTCAGGGCAGAGCTGTGTTATTAGGAAGAAAATAAAACACAGCCCGATCCTCCAACCCTGTCAACATGGTTCTGTATATATGTATGTAAAGCAGACATAAAAGGCATACACAAAGATCACGCTAACAAGAGTCAAACGCTGTAGAAAAGTTTTCATTGTGAAGTAGAAGTCTCCTGTTTATAAAGTATTCGATAGGAGGCCCCTTCCCTCTGAGCCACCAGTCCTCACAGTCAGAAGGACTGGTAGGACCTGAAATCCCCTTGTCTGTTTGCCACGCTGTATGCCCAGCCCAGAAAAAAAGGGGCGCCCTTTTCTAATCAGTGTAAAAGCACCCTATGGACTTTGAAAACAACTTTTCATGACCTCTTGCATATCTTTCTAAAAAAATTATGTACCTACCAGCACATATGCATGTATATAGCCTTTCCCCCCATAAAACTGACACATACTGCACACTGTTCTGAACTCCCCTTCCTTTTTTTTTCCCTCCTCTTTTTCTATTTTTGTTTAACTTAATATTTATTGGGGATTTTTATATACTAGCAATACAGATGTTTGCTTTTTTTTTTTTTTTAAGGGTTTGTGGTATTCTGTCATATAGCTTTATCAAAGTTTATTTAAGTAGTTCCCTTTTAATGATTGATGGGTGTTTAGGTTGTTTCCAGGTTTTTTAGGGGGAAGGCAGAAAGGATGAGGGTTATTGTGTATAAGGCTTACATGTGTATAATACGGATATCTATATAATAGTATAGTTTTATGACAATGCTCATAAGGCAATTCCTAACAATGGAATCTCTGGGTCAAAAAGCATGGGCATTTTAAGTTTTGACAGATATCGGCTGTAACAATTTACATTCCCAAGAATATCTCCATTCTCATACCCTCATTAACTATGGGTATTATCACACTAATTAAGTTTGGCCAGTCTGATAAGCAGAGCATATCTCACTGTTGTTTGATTTATTTTATTTTATTATTTTTTAAAAATATATTTTATTGATTTTGTACAGAGAGGAAGGGAGAGAGATAGCAAGTTAGAAACATCAATGAGAGAGAGTCATCGATCAGCTGCCTCTTGCACACCCCCTACTGGGGATGTGCCCGCAACCAAGGTACATGCCCTAGACCGGAATCGAACCCGGGACCCTTCAGTCCCTAAGCCGACGCTCTATTCACTGAGCCAAACCGGTTTCGGCTGTTGTTTGATTTAGATTTCTTTAAATACAAATGATATTTTTTCATTGGGCCCAGCCAGTGTTCTGTTGGTTGAGCATCACCCCAGGTACCAGGAAGTCACCGGCTTAATTTCTGGTCAGGGCACTTGCCAGGGTCACATTGCAAGCTTTATCCTCAGGGCAGGGGGTGGGATGGGAGGGGACTTACTCTCTCTGAAATAAATAAAAACATATTTTAAAATACATACATATCTTTTCATTGATCTGTTGGCTACTTATGTTTTTCTGTCAGCGAGATGTTCACATCCTTTGCTCATTTTTCTATTGAATCATTACTCACTTCTTACTTTATAACATTTCTTTGTAAATCAAAAATTGTAGTCATTATTGTAATTATCACCATTGTTGTTATGTGTTACAGATATTTCTTCTGCATGTCATTTATCTTTTGATTTTTGTGCATATTACCTTTTGTTCCACAGAAATTTCAAATGCCTGTGCAACCAGATTCACTAATCATTTTCTTTATGGATTTTCTATATATGTAACTTTTAAATGACATGTAAAATTACTAGGTAGAATTTTCCCAAATTCTACCTAGTAAAGTTAACGAAAAAAAATTTTAACCTGATTTCAGCCTATCCTGTGTGCTTAAAGGTAGCCGCATTTTTACAATATAGGTGCTTAGAGGACAGTAAGTGATGGACAATGAGCTTATGATGAGATCAGAGGACTTGGACCTCACATGTCTCCTCAGAACAGACAGCTTTGGGAATGACCACATTCCTCATAAAACCATACAATCAGTCACCCTTTCCCTCTACACAAGTAGCAGATGGTCAACTCAATTAAATATGATTAATTAAACTTAAAGAAATACAATATAATTAATGATATTTGGGATTTTATGGTTGGGATCTCTCTTTCTTTAAAAAAAATCAACACAGTTATTAATATTCATGTTTAACTTTTGTCTCTTATAGGCAGCTTCAAAAGATGGTCCATGATATTAAGAACAATGATGGTGGAATAATGAACAAAATCAAAAAGTAAGTTAGACTCCAGAGCACTATATGAGCATTTATATGAACAACATGTTATGCCAGCCTGCAATCAGGGAAAAAAACAAAGTTCTCTGTTACCAAGTGAAGAGTTACAACCTCTTTAGCATGTAGCCCTTTCTTACTCGTGGCTGGAGTCCATGGCGCTCAGAGCCACATTCAGGAACTGTGCTGAGTGAACGGGGTGGTTCTCAGGGCACCTCACTTTCCCTCTCACTGCTCAAAAGGTGAGCGATGCCATCTGAGGTGCTAGCAAATGTCAAAACGACATTTACCAAAGTAGGAAAATCAACTTCCAAAGCCATTTAGTGAAGGGTCTTGAGGACACAGTTGGGAAAATCCTAAAGAGAAGTTATAAGAACACAGCCCAAGCTCCTTCCATATTTTGATTTCTGCTTTCTCAGGTTTTGCCTAAAATGGTATTTTCATTTGGCACTTGTAGAGGAAAAGGTAGAATTCTAAATCTTCCTGTAACCCCAAACTCTTAAGTTTTTGTTAAGAGAAGAGAAATTGTACATGATATTGTACATACGACACTCAAAATCTAAGTCAAGCGGAAAGGGGAACTGTTTTTTGTTAAGTTTTTAAATTTTGGTTTTTTAAAGAAAGTAGTACAGATTCACCAGCGTGGGAAATATCAAAGAGTTCAGAGTTGTAGAAAGTCAAAAGCTTCTACTTCTTCATATCTCCACTTTAAGCTACTCCCCAAAATAGACATTGTCATATGTGAGTTTGGTATGTAAATCTATATAAAAGCTTACACAGACATATACATTCAATAACATGGATACAATGCATGCCTATATACGCAAAATATTTTAACATGAATGGCATCATATTTATAAACCATTCTACCAACTTGCTTTGTTTGGTGATTTTACTTAATGGTATATCGTGCACATCTATCTTTGTTGGTATGTGATAATAAACATATCCCCTTTTAAAAAGCTGATTAATAGCCTACTAGAAATGTATTATCTTTAATTTCACCAAGCATATATTGTTGGACATTTTTTGAAGGGGGGGCCGGGGGAGGGGAGGAAGGTTGGGAATTTAAACCAGAACATTTTTAGAGGGCAATTTGATAATATCAATTTAGATAAGATCAAAATTTTGTGGGTACTTCTTTCAGTTTAACTGACACAAATAATATTTCAATAACTCTCCTTTGCTGACTTTGAGTATACCAGAAAGCTAAATTCCTGAAATGAGATTTCTGGGTTGAAGGATTTGTGCCCTTGAAGTCTTTATTGATGTTAGCAATTTGCTTTCCCAGTACCACCTGTGGTGTATGAAAGTACATTGCCTTCAGAGCACAGCATCTTCATTCTTTCTGGTCTTTGCAAAACTAAAAAGAAATCACTTTTGTGGTGTTTTCACACTATAAAATGTAAATGATCTCAATATGTATAAGTGATCATCATAAATAGTTAAAAAGGTCTTCTGCTTGTGGGGCTATTCGTCTTCCTGCCTGTCGTGTGACTGGGAGAGGAGAGGTGTGTTGATTGTTTTCATTTATTTCAGAATGTCATTGAAATGAGAGAGCCTTACTATCATTTTATATAATCCTAGCAATTCTAGATTATCTCACAGTTTTACAAAGGTAGCAATTTTCTCAATAGAATGGAGCCTCTATATAAAACGGCCATTCTATGGTCAATCATACAGCAGCCACAGGGCTCCAATGTTTCCAGGCAGTTTCCATTGCAGTATACGCATTGCACTTTTTGTTTTCCAAAGAATGCACTTTCACTTGACAAGCCAAGGTGTGTTCTCAGCTTGGAAAACATGGCTGCCAGAGTCTTTACCCTGGGGAAGCCAATGGCCCTTTGGTTGGAAGTGACGTGTAGTTCTCAGCTCTCACTCATTGCCAGGCAACAAGTGCCACCTTGAAAGGAGGAAGCATGGTTGAACACCCTGGTTTCCTAACCCAAGACTGTGACAGAGTCGTCACTGGTCACGGCTGACTGAGAAAATAAGGATCTTGAAGTGCTGGGGGTTGGTGTGTTGCTGCTGGCTGCTAGGTGGGGCTGAGCCACACCTTTTATTCCTGGCCTGTGTTCAGTGACCCAGTCCTTTCTTGATTCTGAACTTTATTCCGAGATGATAACCTTTATACGTTTGGGGGCAGGGAGGATTAAAATAACCTTTCTTTTCTTTTAGGAAATGATTACCAAAGTTGGTACTAGCTGGTTTGTGCTTTTTAAAATTTTACTGGTACATGAATAGATCTGGCCCAGACCCAGTTTTGCTTTGTTTTTCTTCCCTACACAACCTTTGGTAACCTCTCTCTCTCTGGACCTCATCACAGGTCTAATGATCATATCTCCCCCAGAACACGCTGCTAGCAGGTTATGAGAACCAAATGAAATAATAGATGTGAGAGTCTTTAGGAAAACAAAGAGCAGGATTTCTACTCAAATATAAATATTGTTATTTTTGCATCATTACAATTCTGGTTTATAAGTCTTGTTTTTTGTAATCAAACATGGATTTCTGAATTGCTATTTTTTCTCCAAGAAAGGAAATATGCTTTGTATGTGATGATTACCTTATACTGTACGCAGCTTCTAAAGAATGTGATATTTTAGTAAACAAAGTCTACTGGATATAGGTTTCACATATATATTTAAACTTTTTAACAAAGTAAATCATTCTCAAATAAAATTGGTAACCCCATTATTAAAAATGATAATTTACCATAAACCTTAACTATTTCAAATACCGGAAATGGAAGGGAAGGTGTTGCCGATACTCATAGAAAGCCTAAAAATTGAGATGCCTTTTTAAAATGTCATTTTAACTTTCTTCTTTTAACGAGTGGGGAAGGATTGTGAATATTTAGAACATTTCATATGTGTATAAAGAGGCTACAGAAGCTTTGAAAGTGCTTGAAGCTCTTCAACTTCTAACTAAGCGAAACATCACAATCCCCAATCTAGAGATACTCACTGCTCACTTGTCAGTTTTTCAATAGCTCAAAAACAATTTCAGTCTAGCCTACAATTAAAGTGCTCATTATAACTAATTTTTCCTATTAAAGTGTGTATTAATTATTTATTAAAGTAGAGCACATCTTCCCTTACCTTCTTATCAACCAATCGACATTCATCACATCTTTCTTGACCCTTTGGCCTCGGGGCTTCTTCTATTCTGCCCTCTCAAAGCCCTTTCTCTGCTTGGCTTCACCTTTGCCCAGTCACAGCCACATTGTGCACTGGGGACAAGGGGAGAGCTGGGAAACCTCTGATTAATGGCTTGGCTACATTTTCAATATATTTAGTCTTTCCATGCAATGGGTCCAAAAAAAGTCATTATTCTATTCGCTATTATCTCTATATCTGCTTATGGTATGGGCCTTCACAGCAGATGTCCTACCCACTGACCTTTTGTCTTATGGTTGTTTCCCACAGGCTGAAAGTCAAAGCACCTCCAAGTGTTCCTCGCAGGGACTATGCCTCTGGTAAGAGCATTTCTAAAATACTTGGATTCTTGACTGATTTAAGGTGTATATTTACTTCTTGAAAAGAGAACTATGTTCTACTCGCAAGGAAACAAAAGGTGTCCATTTAAAAAAAAAAAAAATATATATATATATATATATATATATATATATATATATATATATTATTGATTTTTCTTTTTTACAGAGAGGAAAAGAGAGGGATAGAAAGTTAGAAACATTGATGAGAGAGAATCATCAATCAGCTGCCTCTTGCACACCCCCTACTGAAGATATGTCCGCAACCAAGGTACATACCCTTGACTGGAATCAAACCCGGGACCTTTCAGTCCGCAGGTCGACACTCTATCCACTGAGCCAAACCGGTTTTGGCAAAAGGTGTCCATTTTTTATTGATTTCAGAAAGGAAGGGAGAAGAAGAGATTGAAACATCAATGATAAGAGAGAATCTTTGATTGGCTGCTTCCTGCACACCCCCTATTGGGGATCATGCCCATAATCTGGGCATGTGTCCTTGACCAGAATTGAACCTGGGACCCTTCAGTTCATAAGGCCAAGCCTTAACCACTGAGCTAAACCAGATAGGGCAAAAGGTGCCATCTTAATTTTAAGAATGACCAAATCCTATCTATCCGTCGGACCAACCATCCATCCATCCAGTCACCTACTTATCAGACTTTTATTAAGCATCCTCCCTGAGTTAGGCACATACAAGGTCTCAGGTAGAAACACGGTACTGAACAAATAGCACCACACTCACAGAATTTATCATCTAGAAGGGAAGACAGATGGTGTCAAAAGCAATTACATTTCAGTGTGATCAGGAAGCATGAAGTTCTACATAGTATCTGATCTAATCTGATGTGGAGGATGTGGGCAGGGGAAGTGGGGAAAGAAAGGCTTCCTGGATAAAAAATTTAAAGTGGATGTTTGAAGTGGGTGGGGATAAATTATTAGGGGCACACAGTTACTCAATCCTTTCCCATTCTAAGTAGGATCAACTTTGTCAGGGGAGAATAGTTACTCTTGATGTTGGTAGTTTTTATGGCAGTTGTGAGCAAAGTACATTATCCAGCATACTTCCCTTTTCTAGAATAGATGCCTTAGGAAGATAGGTCTAAAATGTATTTCTAATGGCCTACATGTAAAGATTTCTTAGATATGGGCAGGTCTATATAAGCCCTCAGTAAAACAACAACAAAAAGCAAAAACAAAAAACTTTATTCTTCTCTCCAAATTCTAACAATGAAGAGAAAACCAACAGGCTATACCTGTTAAGTACCCAAAGCTTTGATGGGAAAATATGAAATCATGGAGTGAGTGTTGGGTTTTAATAGGAGCCCCAGAGGTCATACAGTCTAACATCCAATCCAATGTGTAGACCTACCTCGCCACCGTGTACCACAAACGAGGCCACTTTCTGCTGGGATATCTCCTGGGATGCCCTCCCAAACCTGTCTGGTCCAGTGAGGAGCAGGCAGCCCTGGCAGGATATAGATGTGACCCATTTCCTTGTGGCTTCCATCGTCTGTCCTGATGGCCACACAGACTGCTCCTTCTCTTGTATTTTTTTACTTGGGCAAAAGCCAAGTAAAGGTCACAGTCATCATGTAGTCATCCTTTTGCCTAACCCACACACACGAGGGATCATCACTGATTCCTCCTCTTCCTTCCCCCTCTACAAAATAAAATAAAATAAAATAAAATAAAATAAAATAAATCTCTAAATCCTATTAATTCCAGCTTTTAAGTGTCTCTCCAATATATTTGTCCCTCTCTATTCACAAAGCTACAGCTCAGAACCCTGTCATCAGCCTGCGTGTCCCAGTACAGAAACCTCTAAACCTGTTGTTCTCAACCTTTAATGCTGCAGCCCTTTAATACAGCTCCTCATGGTATGGTGACCCCCAACCATAACATTATTTTTGTTGCTACTTCATACCTGTAATGTCGCTGCTGTTATGAATCGTAATGTAAATATCTGCGTTTTACAGCAGCGGTTTTCAACCTGTGGTTCGAGACAGGTTGAGAACCGCTAGCAGGGTTGCCTAAGATCATCGGAAAACACAACCATTCAAGGTCAAGTAAAGGGGACCAAGAAGCCCCAGGTCAGGGAAGGCAGGTGTAGGTGCAGGTGCTGCAGACAGGGTGGAGCTGCCAGCTAAGATTTACGTTTCTGCACTCTGCCTCCTCCGTGTCATTTCAGAGAGCCCTGCTGACGAAGAGGAGCAGTGGTCAGATGACTTTGTAAGTATTGCTCGTGGGGCAAGGAGGGTACGGTTTCCACCAGGCCTTTTCTAAGGGTTTATTTCTGAATCACACACTGGTGGCCAGCTGCATATCACAGAGAGGAGGTGGCCGGGCCACCTGCAGACGAGGCAGCAATAACCTCAGACAGGCTGCTTTGAGCTGCACCTAAGCCCCACCACAGCCCTCTGTAGGCATTCTTACCCCTTTTCCTGCTAATATTCATAGTACTCACCAGCATGGCCAAAACAGATGGCAAACTGTTTACATAGGTCCATGTCAGTTAACAAACGTCTTCGTCCTGAATTCCCCAGTGCCCATCAATCACTTCCTGGCCCCTGCCCAGAAACTCAGACAAACCAACAACCGAAAAGTAAATGCCTGGCACATCAGGGCCACTGGGGAACTCTTTAGGGCCATCGTTAAACATTTTGAATTTTAGCCCCGCCAATTTTACAGCTGAAGAAAGGAAGGCGTGAAGAATTCAACTTGCAGTTCCAAAATTCTCCCTCCAACACTCAGATCTCCGAGGTGCTTGCTGTGACCGAGCAGGCTAGCAAGGCATCGGAGGCCAGAGTGAGAGAGGGGGCCCTGGCCATGATGACACTGAGGGGTGTCTGTAAACCTCTTCAAGGTGTCTTTACAACCTACAAAACCCCAGCAGCCACTTTTCCCCTAGGCTGAGTCTTATAGAGACAAGACATCCTAAAATCTTTTCTTCCCAATAATTATTTCTCATATATCAAATTCATGCCTGTGAATCCAACCTGTGAACTTTAGATCTGGAATGGACCCAAGAGGGTCTCTACACGACAACATACCATATAAGGAAACTAAGGCCAAAGGAATGAAAATGACTTGCCCACTGTCATTCAGTTACTCAGCGGCCAGAATGATAACTGGGGGCTCAGAATTGAGCCTGGGCTCAAGTTGTGTAAACCACCTGGAGTTGACTCCGAATATAAGGAGCCAGAAGTTCCTCCCTTTTCGACTGCAGAGAAAAGATTTTTTTTTTTTTTTTTTTTTTTTAAGAGTGGACAAATGGCCTTTCTACATACGGGTCACTTGGGCATGGAGTTATTTCTCGGAGCCCAGCTGTCACTGATCCCTCAGAAGCACTGCAACTGCGCCCCCTGCTGGCTGCATGCATTGAGCCACATCTTAGTAAAGTTAAGAAGCTGGTCCTCATGCTGAGGGAAACCAAGGAAATTTAGCTTGCTGGCTGGGAAAATAAACAAGCACACAGTAGGGAATTAGGAAGCACAAAGTAAAATCAGCCTGAAGATGAGGAAAATATGTCTCTCAAAGTCGAACAACCAGAATCAAGGCATCAACTGTAATAAGGACTGAGAAACATTCACTCACAATTATTTTGACCTTAATGGATGGAGTCCAGCCTTGTAACACCGCGAGGCTCTGTGAACCTGTCCCGCCTTCCCCTCCCTGAGTGCACCCCTTCCAAGGCCTCATCACAGCCCAGGCACACAGCCCGCCCTCCGTGCCTACAGCATGCCAAGGCCCTCCTGCCTCAGCGACTTCAGACTCGTGGTCCTGGGGCCGGAAAAAGAAGGCAAGAGAGGAGAAACAAAGAGCAGTCTTCCACTCTTCCTTCTCGTCCTCCAGGTTTGGTTTAAATGTCTCCCCAGGCAGGCCTTTCGGGTACCCCATCCAAGGCAGAATCACGCCCCCCCACCCCCACCCCCACGGCATCTGTCTCAGGCCCCCGACCATTCCCCTAAGTGCATCTATCGCTAGTGATAGACATTGTTTGTGTTTAAAAGTCTACTTGTTATTTATTTTTAACTATTTGTGTGTCATCAGGTTTCCTTGCTAGAATATAATTTCTGTGAGGGAGTGCGCTCAGAGTCAAGCACAATGCCTGGCACATACCAGGCACTCAATAATTAATAACCGATTAAATGAATAAATGCACAACTTGAAATTTTGTCTTATGACACATTCCCATCTTCAAGTGTCCATCAGATTATGCAACATATTACGCTTGTTGAATACGGAATGAACGATTAAATCTCGTTTGACAGAATTTATACTAATTTGGGGGAAGAGGATTTTTTTTTAACTCTCACAAGTTGGAACATATTCCTTCTTTAAGTCTCTTGATAAAAAGGCATTCAAGTGCTCATGCCAGCAGTACATATACTAAAATTGGAGTGATACAGAGAAGATCAGCATGGCCCCTGTGCAAGGATGGCACACAAATCCATATTTTAGAAAAAGAAATAAAGATGCATTCTGCTGTGTTTGGCACAGAAGGGGCTCCTGGTGCATCGCCCCCAGAATAGATTTTCCAGCCCAGCACTTCTCCTGAGAGCCATCCCTTCCTCCCAGTCCTTGCAGAGCCCAGGCAGCAGATCAATCATTCATTCATTCCATAGCCGAGTCATGGGTACCTGTCCTACTGCAGGTTCTATGCTGGGTCCTGGATATATAGTCTCAGTCCTATCCTCCTGCCTAACCCGGTAGGCAGCCCGGTGTCAGAGGAACAGCTGACATGGAGTCCCTCTTCCCCTTCCTTTCTGCCTCCTCTGCCAATGTGATCCTCCTATCCAGGCTGCCCAGCCTGAGGGGCTGCAAGGAGCCCAGAGTCCTCCCCAGGATACATAGTGCTCCTCCACTGCCAGGTAATTAAGTCTCAGAAGTCCCATTCCTGGTTCATAAAAACTGAAACAAAGAGCAATGCCCCAACCTTCTTCTCAGGCCCCATGGGTCCAGGGCTGCTGATTCTTTCACTTTCCTGATATTCATTAAAGCAGCTGCTTCTCAGCACTTGCCCTGATGTCTCCCGGAGAGGCTGCCACGGCAATGATGGGGTTCTTGGCTTGGATGAGCAGGGCTCCAACCACCTCATGCTGGACTAGGCTGGCCATGGGAAGCCAGGCTCTTGCCTGATAAGCCTCCTTCAGCCACTCTTTCACTCCCAGCTCTCCTCCTAAACGCCCCTGCCCCCCAAGTCTGAGAATAGCCATTGACTTCTCAGAACACAGACTGCACTCAAATTATTCAACTACTCTGTGCCTCAGTTTCCTCTGCTATAAAATAGGAGAGTTTTAAAAAATGATTTCATGATTGTGGTGAGGAGTAAATGAGGTATACAGCACATAGAAATGTCAGTTATAAGAATAATATTATTATTATCATTATTCTATTCCTCCTAAATTCATGCTCATGTTCAAAAAGGATTCTTGAGGCCCCTCTTCCCCCAAATCTGCTATTACTGGGATCGGGGAGTGGGAAAATTCCCCTTACAGGAATTTTTATCTCACCTCATCTACCTTCTCTCCCACTCTAGGACAAGTACAAACACACCCTCTTTTCAGCCTCCTTTCTCATTTCTTATCCCACTCTTCACCCTATTCCTCTCCTCTCCCTATGTCCCTACAGACTGAGGAGGAAAGCATAGGCCTCACTCATGTATTTATTAATTCATTCATAAATTTCAAACAAAGTGAGCTCCTATGAAGGAAACACTCTACACCTGCATCAGTGTTCTACAACTGCAAGCCAATGAGACAGGCAAAGGGCAGATGCATCACCCACTCATTGGAAAGTCATGTGTGGATCATGCATTGTCAGGCAGCAGTGGGGAGAGGGCAATGGACACAGAGGTCAGAGGACCTCTTAATTCCTGGACCAAATATTTCTTCCACACACACATATACGCATGCGTGCTATGCACATAAGCTAGCTCTGAACAAAGTGCACACGAAGCTAGTGGTTCTGTTTGCCTCTGGGGAGAGGAACTGAGTGGCTGGGAAGGAGGTTTTGTTATATTCTTCCAAACTGCCTCAACTTTAGAACAAACGTGTCAATGTATTTTTCAATCTTAACTTAAATATAATTTATATTTTTAAAAAGAATAGAGAGTGGACTCTGAGTCCATGTGAAGCCCAACCCCTCTAGCTTATATATATATATATATATATATATATATATATATATATATATATATATATATATATATATATCATCTTCTTAAAAGTATTTATGTTTTCCTATGTGTCCCCTTCCCCTATCCTTATTAAACTTATTTCCCCCTCAACTGTCAGCCTTCATGACAATAAAACCTATGGTTCTTCTATTTTTCTGTCTTTTTAAAATATATTTTCTCTCCCACGGTTCAGCTACCTTCGGGTTTAATAGTTCACCAGGTCTCCCTGCCCCCCCCCTCCCCTCCCGCTTTCACCCCAGGCCTGGCTTCCTCACCCCGACACTGGGGGCGCAGTTGGCCCTCCAGGTCAAGTCTGTCCTGACGACCAGGTACAGCTGGGCCCTGAGCACGGTGTCTGCACTTGCAGGACAGCGACTATGAAAACCCCGACGAGCACTCCGACTCCGAGATGTACGTGCTGCCCGCTGAGGAGCCTGGGGATGACAGTTATGAGCCACCGCCCGTTGAGCAGGAGACGAGGACAGTTCACCCAGCCCTGCCCTTCACCAGGGGCGAGTACGTAGGTGAGGCGTCCTCTGCCCCCTCCCCCCACCCTCCACCCTGGGTGTTCAGCGGGGAGGTGGGGACAGGCCAAGGTTGGCAGGGAATCTCCCATTCTCACCATCTATAGGTGGGTCATCGGGTCTCTCAGGTAATGGAGCCCATGGGTCTCTCTCTCCCCTGGGAGCATGTTTTTGATCAGGACCTTCTACTTTTTATAATGTAAGTCAATGGGACCTGAAGCTTTTTACCTAACATGTCATTTCACTCCTTTAAGGAATGCCCCCATTCATTTGTGGCTACTTAGGTGCTGGAGGTTCTATACTTTCTAGAGCTCAGTGGTGTCCTCCCAGGGAATGACCCAGAGCCCCTTTCATTTCATGCTTTGTTGTTGCTTTCAAGACAACCGATCAAGCCAGAGGCAATCTCCGCCCTTCAGCAAGACCCTTCCCAGTAAACCCAGCTGGCCTTCGGCTAAGGCGAGGCTGGCCTCCACCATGCCCATCTCGACATCTCTGCAGAAACCCCAAGTCCCACCCAAACCCAAGGATCTTGAGGACGAGGTAAAGTAAATCCATCCTGATGGCTTCCCAGACCTAGTGGAAGGCAGGATGTGGTGTGGGGTGGGAGGGAGGCATCAGGAGAGTCTGGATCCGGCATGTCTTCCTCCTTCCATCCCTGCTCTCTAACCAGCACTAGCCACTTAGTGCCTTCACTGCCTCCCTCTAACTCTCCGATGTTATGCTGAAAGGGTGTGGTTTTCTTTCTCTTAAAAAATGGCATATTTGACCTGCTCTAAGCATTTTTTTAAAATATATTTTTATTGATTTTAGAGAGGAAGAGAGAGGGAGAGAAAGATAGAAATATCAATGATGAGAAAGAATCATTAATTGGCTGCCTCTTGCACGCTCCTCACTGGGGATTGAGCCCGCAACCCGGGCATGTGCCCTTGACTGGAATTGAACCAGGGACCTTTCAGTCCACAGGCCAATGCTCTAATAGGCATAGCATTTCTTTTTGGGGTTTAAAATTAGATTACGTGATGGTTTCACACTCTGCAACTATACTAAAAATCACTAAATTATTCACTTTATGTAGGGAAATTTAATGGTATATAAATTATATCTCAGTAAATATTTTTTAATTTAATTTCTTTAAATAGATATTTTAATCACTTCTTTCCATACAATAACCTATGAATGGACAGCATTCTTCTCATTCACTTGTGCATTCCTTCTAGGCTGATTATGTGGTCCCTGTAGAAGATGAAGATGAGAACTATATTCATCCCACAGAAAGCAGTTCACCCCCATCTGAAAAAGGCAAGTGTTTGTAGTTTTAAGCACCTGAACATTTCTACCAGTGGACAGGGGTAGGTGAGACTATTTGGAAGCAAGCACTAAGGGGCTCAGAAGTAATGGTACTCAGGTCTCTCCCATCTCTGTCCAAAGCATTTGCCTGTTTTGACAGTCTGAGTGAGCCATCTCTATATTTCATAGTCTTTCCCTTCTTCCTCTGTCCTCTTCCCATCTTAAATTATGAAAGCACCTAGGTGCATATTATTAGCTGTCCTAACACTCACAAAGTCACAAACCACCATGCTGGCCTTACAAATATTACACCAGGCACAATGTCTGCAGAGGCCTGAAAAATACGAAAGAGGAAAATATGCTCTGTATCCTGGTTCTTTAAATGTAATGCTATTTCAGGAACATTTTGTTTGTAAATGCTTCACGGAATAACAAATGCAATTACAAACAAATTATCTTGAAAAGCCAATGCCGCACACCCTCTGTGGAACAGCACCTGCTTACTTTGGATACAGTCACTATGAAGAAGGTACTCCTGTGTGAGGGATCTCTTCAAGGAACATTACTCAGCTAATAAACTCTAGAGTAGCAGTGCTCAGTTTTCATGCTGCCATTATGTCACAACCCTCTCCTGCATTCCCTCACATCACCAACGGCTTGAAGACCCACCTGAATTCCTGGCCACCCATCACCACGAAAATAAACACCTCTTACACATCTCCACCCAAACAAAGCCTGAGAATACAAAAGAAATGCTATGTGTTGCTGTGGCAGGGAGGATGAGCTGTTAATTTGGCCCCTTCACTATTAGGTTCAATACACTTCTACTAATTTATTTTTTTTTTAAACACAAAGTATTCATCTCCTGCATCTGCAGTTTGGCAAAGGGGATTCCAAGTCAGTATTCACTTTAACAAAATGCCTATCATAAAATATTTCATGCTGAATATTTCATGAGTTTGGCTCAGTGGATAGAGCGTTGGCCTGCGGACTGAAAGGTCCCAGGTTCGATTCCGGTCAAGGGCATGTACCTTGGTTGCAGGCACATCCCCAGTAGGGGGTGTGCAAGAGGCAGCTGATAGATGATTCTCTCTAGTCGATGTTTCTCTCTATCCCTTTCTCTTCCTCTCAGTAAAAAATCAATAAAATATATTTTTAAATATTTCATTATTCCTTTAATCATTAATATATTTATTCTAACAGTGTGTGTGTGTGTGTGTTTTGTTTGTTTGTTTTTTGTTTTTTCCTGATGAAGCTTTTTATTGGCTTATAGGTTTAATGAGTATGTTTCCCATTCCCTCCAAACTCTCCGGTCTGACCCCTCATTTCCACAATGCATTTTCCCATCAGTGTGAATCCCCTTCAGTGGACTGTATCTATAATCATTATGTGCATGTTTGTGTGTTTAAGCTCCCATGGTGAATAGATCAACCAAGCCAAATAACTCCTTGAAGCCAGCTCCTCCTCCAGTGACAGCTTCAGGTAAAGTATATGTGTGATGTGCTTGCTGTTTTTTTTAAATCGTGGGATGATTACATTTGGGGGTGGTTGATTTTTAATATATTGCAAATAAGATAAACAACTGAGAGCAAATATTAAGAAATAATCACTGTATTTTCAAATTTCTTAATAAATGGTAGCAGAAGCCTTCATCCTCGTGTACTGTCTGGTGGCTCCCATGTTGAAGGGACCTGGCCCCCCTCTGATGTACCTGGACCTTTACTAGCCCAGCTCTAGTTTTCATCCTACCTCAATGATGAAACCAACTTCATTGGTTTCTCCTTCTGTCCCTGACTGAGGATGTCTGCCTCACTCAGTCCTCAGCCCTTGCTCTTCTTTCAGAATACAGTGGTGATTAAGAGCGTGGTTTTAAGCCAGATAGATCTGGGTTGGAATCCCAGTTACCAGATGTGCCACTTCGGGCCTGTCCTTCCTCGGCAAGCATCAGATTGTTTCATCTGTAAATGGGGTTAGTGCACTGAGACAGGAGAATTCTGAAATTGTGAGTGTGAAACTTTCAATCCACATTTAGGTGCACAGTAAGGGTATTCTTTTTTACATTAAGCATCTCCACGCAAATAAATCCTGCAAAATACAAAAGAAATGGTATGTGTTTTCCTTAGGGTTCCTTAATTCTTCTGGTTTTATTTCTCTGGTCTATGATGATAACTCTGGTGTCCAACGCTGACCTGCTTTCCCTTCTGAACACCTTGACATTCCCACCACCTCCCACTGCATCCATCACCCTTTGGGCATCCCTACGGCTCTTGGCATGTCGGCTTCTAGCCTGTGTGTCTCAGCATGCCTGTGTTCTTTCCAAGGACTGCTGGTTGTTTTTCCTGAAAATTTTCTTCTATTTTCGTTTTCACCACCCTAGTCCAGGCTTCCTTTACTTGATCACCTCACACCTTCTGCCTGTGTGTGTCATTAGCCACACCCTTGCTCTATGCTCTCTTCTTGGTCACTAGACTAAGCTTCTGAATGCCTCCATATGTTGCCAGTTTCTTCCATTACAAAGTTAGTTTTTACCATGTCACCACTACCCAAACCAAGAACTCCCAGAGGTTCTCAGAACCCCCAAACTGAAGCCCATGAAACTGAGTGGTACGTACACACCTATCCTCTTACAGCACAGAGAGGTTCAGGAGCCTCCTCTCTAGTCCTCCCTTGTCTCCCTCTCCCCTTTATCATCTCTCTCAGTCTCTCTCTCCCCCGCCCCCTTCTTCTCCAGAGCTAAAGGCTGAACACAAGAGATTGGCAGATGGAGTGCTGCTTCCTGGGCCATGGTCCTTAAGAAAATATGAAAGAAGAGTTTTGTTTTTGTTTTGTTTTTTACCTTTTCCTAGATGCATTTCTTGTGCAATTGTTCAACCTCTTCACAAGTTCTTGTCTTATTTATCCTCTCCCTCGGAAGCCACGGGCTCTTTACATTTGGAGATTAACAGGGCCATCTTGTCCAGCTCATTGAACTCCTGGGAACAAAGGTCAATATCAACCTAATCGGTGATGACTGCTTTGATCCCAGCTGAAATGGAGACTTCTGACTCATAACTGAGGAGAAGGGCTGCTATGACTGGAGCAGATCTTTTATTGAAATAGATAAATGAAGGCCTACACCCTCTTTTAGAAGAACAGTTCAATCATCTCTGGTGTTTGCATCTTAAAATGCTCTTACCAAACAAGGACTTTTTCTTACTAAAACACACGCAATACTCCAACCATCCTGTATTTCATGGCTTCTTTACTTGATCACCTCACACCTCCATGGGTCCTACCTTTTGGTCTTTGTGTTCTCACTTTTATGACATCAAATTCTACCCATCCTTCAAGGCCCAGCCTGAGGTCTCCCCCTGCAGGAAGCCTCCTATGGTTTCTGTAGCCCTGAGAGAGCTTTTCTTTGCCCTCTCATCCCACTTACACTTGCCCCATACCTGTCCTCTAATTACTATGTGTCTTTGTCTAATCTCCCTAACTACATTGAAAGCTCCTTAAAGACATTGACTTCAATGTCACTTGCTCAGGAGGCCTTTCTTGACCCCATTTTGGGCTAGAGCCCCCTTGGCTGTGAAGGTGCTTGCTGGGGGTTACACAGTGAACTGGGTGCAGCGACAGGCTCTCCCTTCCCTTGTGTTCCAGACTGAGAAGCCCTGAGCAGCACTGAGCACAGACTCCAAAGCCAGAGGCTCAGGTCCTGGCTCTGACCCTTGCAAGACACCAGACTTGGAACAAGCTGAGGAACCTCGTTGTTTCTCAGTGTCCTCCTCTGGAAAATGGAGGAGAGGGCCACTTGCACCTCAGGGTGCTGTGAGGATGAGATGGGAAAAGACCTATGAGTCACATTCCTAAAACCATAGTTCTTTGTTACTTATCACTGCTATTTTTCAGAACCCCTAGTTTAACCTGCCTAAATTCATGAACAGTCTTAGCAGAGCATCTTGTACCTATCTCAGGAAACTATTGTGTGTCTTCCTTTTCATATAAAGTTCTCCTCTAAATCAGGGTTGCTCAGCCTCAGTAGTATGGGCATTTGGGGCTGGATAATTCTTTGCTCTCTTCTGTCCGTACATTGTGGGATATTAGCAGCATCCCTGGCCTCTGCCCACTAGGTGCCAGTAGCTCCCCTTCCCCAGTCCTGACAAGCAAAGAAGTTTCAGTTGTTGCCAAGTGTCCGTGGGGGAAAGAGGGGTGGGCAAAATCACTCCCAGTTAAGAACCACTGCTTTAAACCAACTGAAAGGCCCACACCCGCAGTGACTTATCTCTAAATGAGCATTTAGAAGAAGGTGCTGCAGCCTCTAGCTGATTTGTAACTTTTGTCAGAAGAGGATAAACAGAGCTTGTATTTCTGAACTTCCTCTCTAAGTAAATAGCATTAAAAAGCAGTCTATGCTCTTATTTCCTAAAACAAAGGAGCTTTGGAATTTATAATTCCCTGCTAATATGTAAGCTAAATGCTACCTATTGGCCAAATTGTTCTGAAGTTGTTCAATTAAATCTCTTTATTTTGCAAGAGGCCATGCAGTGCCTGAGAGTAAAGGGATCTTTTAGCGTTGAGGTGGGCATGGCAACTTTCTAAAACTGGATTGCAGTTATGGTTACAAAACCCTGTAAATGCAATGATTTACAAAAATCATTGAACTGTATATGAAAATTAAGTGAAAAATTACAAGAAACTCGGTAAATACAATTATTGCTGTTTTTATGTTACCATCTTGTTATCCACCACCACAGTACCTTAGCAACACTTGGCAACATTTGAAGACTTCTTTGGTTGTCAGGACTGGAGGAGGGGAGCTACTGGCCAGGAGGAGGGTACTAGGTTATCCTATCCAGTCATGGCCCTGGGTCTGACTTTAGGCCCAGTACCGCAGAAAGGGTCACTGGCCCATTATATAGAAGAGTCATGCTCCATCTGCCATGAGCATCCACAAAAGCAGACCTCTGTTTCTTTTTATTAATTATTTTTATTTTTAAACAGACCTCTGTCTCACTAATCTTTCCCCAATGGAGGGAGAAGCAGCAAGTGAACCCTCACATCAAACCATGTCCCAGAATTATGTCTCAGGCATTTTGAGGCCCTGGCTGGAAAGGAAAGTGCCGCCCAGGCTTTAAACTCAGATGGCCTTGATGTTCGACCCCAGCCCTGCCTTGTGGCCTTTCTGAAACTCGGTTCCCTCCAATGGTCAGTAAGTGAGGCCCAGAGGAGGCACATTTAAAGTACCTGGTACAGTGCTCAGGTACAAGATGGTAGACAACAACAACAATAATTGTATTTACCGGGTTTCTTTATGACTTGTAATTTTTCACCTAATTTTCATATCGTTCAATGATTTTTGTAAATCATTGCATTTACAGAGTTTTGTCACCATAATTGCAATCCAGTTTTAAAGTTGCCATGCCAACGCTAAAAGATCTCTTATGCCCATTCATGGCCAATGCTATTCACACACACACACACACACACACACACACACAACACATACACCTTGGACAACCACCAGTGTGCTTTCTGTTGCTATAGATTTGTCTTTTCTGGGCGTTTCCTGTAGATGGAGCTATAAAATATGTAGTCTTTTCCATCTGGCTCTTTTTACTTAATGTAATGTTTTGAACCTCAAATACTTTTTTTAATCCCTTTCCAACAATATTACTTTATATTTGGCTAATTCTTTACATGTTTAAAGTCGTCCTATTATTCTCCTAGCTTGTTTTGCTCAGTGATTAGCACATCAACCTGTGGACTGAAGGGTCCTGGGTTCGATTCTGGTCAAGGGCACATGTCCAGGATTATGGGCTGGACCTTAGTCAGGCAGGCAGCCGATTAATGATTCTTATTATTGATGTATCTCTCTTCCCCCCTCTCCCTTCTCTTTCTCTAAAATATCAATTAAAAAATATATTTTTAAAAAGTTGTCCTATTATCTTACCACAGTAACTCAGTTAGGTAAGGTAGGTGGTGGTGTCCCTGTTTCACAGAGGGGAAACTGAGACAGTGGTTTATAAGAGGTCATCCAGCCAGTTTTCTGGCAAGAAATAACTAGAACTTTGTGTTCTTGATTAGAGACCAGAGGTCTCCACTAATCTGTCCTCCCCGCCACCAGAGGAGAACGGGCCTGCCTTCCCATCTGATTGCAGAGGCTGTGTGTGAGGAGGGAAGGGGAAGGAAGACGTTGGCAGGCTGTCTGGAGATATGAAGAAAAGGGAAGCTGCGTAGAAAAGCCCGGCAGCAGATGTGACAGTGATAATGAACCTGGGCCACATGAGCCCTTGGTATTTAAGGAGAGCCCCTGGGAGGAAATTCTGACTTAGACCTTCTTTGCACTTCCTTATTTTTCAGGCAAGGTTTTTGTTCCTCTTCCCTGAAATTTTCATTAAAATCTGAGTATCCAAGTGTATTTTTATTGATTGGTTGATTTTGAGAGAGAGAGAGAGAGAGAGAGAGAGAGAGAGAGAGAGAGAGAGAGAGAGTGAGTTTATTTGTTGTTCCACTTCTCTGCATTCTTTGGTTGATTCTTATATGTGCCCTGACCTAGGATCGAACCCAAAACCTTGGTGTATTGGAACCTTGCTCCAACCAACTGAGCTACTCAGCCATGGCCTAGCCAAATGTATTTTAAGGTCAATCTCAGCTATGAAGAATTTGAAGAACACTATCAATTTGATACAGTAGCTAAGGAAACATAGTGAGACTCACACTACATACTTGATTGATATTTCAGTTTATTGTCTCGCGCAATGTTACAAATTCCAGATGTAGTCTCTTTTTCAAAAATGGTTTTGAAAATCGCATCTAGGTTAGGTGACATGTAAGTAGGAATTTCCCGGGAGGGGGCATTCCTTTATGGGGAGTCGGGGAAGGCAACTCATGAAATCACCACCACCCACTCTGTGCCGCTAAGCGTTTGTGGAAATGGGCCCTGCGTAAGAATCGTGCGTAGAAGAAGGCAGTGGAAGGCCCAAGTTGGCTGTTGCAGAGAGGTCACGGAGATGCGCATGGCAGCATGGGGAATATGGTCAATCATATCCTCAAGGCTCTGTATGGGGCCAGGTGGTGGTTGGGGCAGCAGAGGGACTACTCTTAGTCTGTGACTGTCTGGTCACTGTGCTGTTCATCTGAAACCAATACAGAATAATATGGAATGTAAACTATAATTGAGGGGAAAAAAGAATTGTGGGTAGAGAAAGAGCAGGTGGATTCTGAGGGAAAGCCTAAAGGTCTCTCCGGTCACGTGCATGAGAATAAACATAACGATCTCTATTTTTAATGCTTTGTGGGGCCTTTTCTTTTCTGTGTTTAGAACAGGCGGTGCTACCAGAGGAGGTGGCATGGGGTACACATTTTCTCCTGTTGGAAATTCCGAGAGGGCAGCGCACCATCTTTACTTCTTCCCTTTTCCCCAGTCCCTAACACAGAGCCTCCGCATGCTTCCTGCACACCAGGAAGTTCTTAGTAACTGATGATCACTTCAGTGTTTACTTATGTGCGCTTTATCTCGCAACCCAAAATAACATAGACTGAGAGCAGGTCCAACCTCCATTTAAGTCCAATAGGAATTGTGTACTTATAAATGTATGTTCCTAATAAAATATTTTTCCAGTTCAATTTAATTCAATAAATAGGCTTTGTCTCACTGAGCAATAATGTGCAGGCAGGCGAGCATGGGCCTGAGAGGAGGCCCGGGAAATGCTGAGGGGAGCTGGCTTAGCTTCTGTCTGTCCTCTCTGCCTCCAGGCCTGCTCTCTGCCCCGGTGGTGAAGTGCTGCCTGTCTCATCTTCTTCCCTCATAGTGATTGGGCAGGGGAAACTGGGGTGCAGTAGACAAGGCCCTTTGGGTTCCTTCTGTAACCTCAGAAATTAGATCAGGACAGCAGCTTAAGTTGTCTTGATTTGTCTGTTTGTGCAATGAGCAAAAGTCCTGGGAAGTCAGACGAATGAACGAGTATCTAAGAATGTGAAGTTAGGTGTAGGGGTCGGTGTTTATGTGATTATGAATATCCACAGGTGTATACCAGGAGTGGCAGGTATGTGCCTCGTCTCTAGGCACCTCTGGTGTGCACATAATTGCAAGTGTGAGCTCCTGGCTCCCTCCCATAGGACTCTCTCTGAGCCCACAGAGCCAGGGACTCTGTGTTTGTCCCCTGGGGGAAAAGAGAAGTGACTTAGAAATGTTAATATTATTCATTACATTCTTTAGGCTGTATTTTACATCCCCGTGTCTATTTTGTCACTCTCCAGTCCCTTCACTCTTTTCACCCAATTCCCCCAAACCCCTTCCCTTTGGCAGCCATCGATCTGTTCTCTGTGTCTATGATGAAGTCCCAAATTCACATCCTAGTTCTGAGCCAATAAGTGGATATTTATTAAAATGTTTTATCACCTTGGCCTAAAAGGTTTTCCCCAGTAGCTTCAATGTGATTACTAAACGTGCCTTACTGAAAATAATAAATATGTGCACCTCTAAGCCCAGCCTCCCTGTGACCATCAGCCCCAGATTCAGGACTGGAGACTGACCTGTGTACATGTTGTGCAGGTCGAAGCAGCGGGGCCTGGGACACTAAGGCGTCTTCGTTACCGGCTGTGCCGTCCCCACTGCCCAGGGCTGGGTGAGTACCTGCCACAGACAAGCAGCTCCGTGAGATGGGAGTGGATGGGCCCACACAGGGGCTCGGGGTGCAGGGTGCTTACCCGCTGTTTCCATCCGGAAGAACACACCTGCAGGACCTCAGATCACAAGGATGATCCAACTTGGGTTGGTCTTGGATTTCTCTGTCCGGAATGAAACCCTGGGCAGAAGTTTAGTAAAGAACAGTCACCTTCATTGATGTTTCTAACTCTCTATCCCTCTCCCTTCCTCTCTGTAAAAAAAAAAAAAAAAAAAATATATATATATTTTAAAAAAATACAGTCACCTAGAAGCAGGCGGAAGCTGGCATGTGTAGGTGCCCGCTGCAACCTCACCTGCATGGCCTCCCTCATATCTCCAGTCTCCATCCCCAAGCAGCAGCCTGGGGCCCTGCGGGCGGAGGGGAGGGCTCTGTGTGCACATTGAAAACACCGAGCCTGGGCCTCACTTTACAGAAGAGGGAACTAAATCTCCAACCGGCCTCGCAGCCCATAGAGAGGCCTGAGTCACAGCGTAATTAGCAATAGAACTGGATCAGGAGCTCAGTGATGCCGGCTCCCTAGCTGCTGGTGTTCCTGTTTATCCCCAATTAACCCTCTGCCATCTGCCAGGGGACCCTATGTGAGGTGGGGGGAGGATGGTGGAGGAGAGGCGGGCACAACTGAATCCTGCTTCCTCCCTCTCCGCCTTTCCAGGAGAGCTTTCCCCCCCACCACTCCTACCACCTTCATTGCTCTAATTTAAATTTGCCAAGAAAATGATAAGCAGGCAGTTCTACTTTATCTTTTCACATTGCAACAAAGCCAATCTTTCTTTTTTAATCCCCCAGGAAAAAGCCTGCTGCACCACTGAAGACGGTAAGTTACTGTCACAGTTACACACACTTCCTGTTTCCCAGTATTTATTCTTTATATATATATATATTTATTTTTTACAGAGAGGAAAGGAGAGGGATAGAGAGTTAGAAACATCGATGAGACATCAGCTGCCTCTTGCACACCTCCTACTGAGGATGTGCCCGCAACCAATGTACACGCCCTTGACCGGAATCGAACCCGGGACCTTTCAGTCCGCAGGCTGACGCTCTATCCACTGAGCCAAACCAGTTTCGGCCCAGTATTTATTCTTATCCAGTCGTTTAAAGCTGACAAAGCTCCCAGCAAAGGGGACCCGGAGACCTTAGCCCTGAAGGTGTTGTCCGGGCAGGCCTGGGAAAACTCGGAACCTCAGGGAGCCTGGGAAGATGCGGCCAGGGAGTTCATCCTCATTTGACCCCCGCAGCTTTGGCTGAATAGCTCTGGCAGATCAGCCACCAGGGCCGGCCTCCCCTGACATCTGTCTTCCCCTCGGCGTTCCCCTGTGTCCGTTCCCAACCCTCCGGCTGGGTCCTGACAGTTGCATAGCAGGCACACGCAGGCCTGACTAAACTCAAATTCTGGCCCAGAACGAAGGGAACCTGCAGCAGTCCGCTACTCAACGAAGCCCGCCTTGACCTGGTATCTACTCGGTAGCCTGACATTATAATCAGCCACCAAACCCTGAGACGGCGGCGGGTCCTGAGACAGAAGCCCTATGCTGGGTTCCCACTGCAGCAGCGCTACTGCCCGGCAGCTGCTGGGGGTCCTGCTGTCCCTCAACCCCAGGGAAGGCCCAACACCAAGACCACATGCTCCTCCCATGAGACACCTCAGTGCATTGTCACTTCATGCAACGGTTAGAGTAGAGACTGTGCGTGTCTAATTGTTGCTCTTATGACTAAAAGAATGTCTTTGCATCAGAGAAATGTTCTCCTCAAATACTTCAATAATATTATTGCTTTGACTTTTATTTCCACATAAAATTGAATATCTTTGCTTTTTTTTTTTTTTTTTAATAGGCTCCACTTGCCTCTCAACAGAATGCCTCAAGTGTGTGTGAAGGTAAATCTATCTTATTTTAAAGGAGTGTGGCCCTAAAACTCTTTTCAATTAAGGATTTCTATATAAATGTCTTCCTAAATTCTGTCATTATTTGTAAGGTAATTGTAAACATGCAACTCAATTTTCTAAACTAAGTAGCCCTCCCATTGCAATGAGCAGTGAGTGGCAGTGGACCTGAGTTTGCCTGGGAAGCTTCTGTGGGGTGGCTTACAGTCTACACACCTCAGACCTGTCTGCTTGCTGACAGCTATGAAATGGCCATGGCCTTCCATTGGTGTGAAGACTAATCCAGGGCCACTCATGTATCTTAGAGTCTAAGACTTAGACTAATTGTTTGGTTAAGGAACGAAACTTTTAAAAACCTGTTGATGTGTATCAGTCCTTTTGCTAAGTTTTCAAGATAATGTTTTCAGAGTTCAAATGCCTGTCTTAATACATCTTCAAATGCTTTCCTTTTGTTGTTCTATCATATCCCTAGAACCTTACATTTACTTTTTATTAGAACATTACCACTCAAAAAAAAACTGTATTTGAAAAATCCTAGGGGGAAAAAACAGAAAGAAGCAAGAATTATCCATAATCTCAACATTTAAAATACTATATGAGTTCAATTTCTGCACCCATCTGCTTCCACGTTTGAAGATATAATGTTAAAAGCTTAGGGAGTGCTCTTCTCACCATTTCCCGAGTTAATATGGGCAGATCTACATAAAGTGTTCTGGTTTCTCTGACAATGGACGGTGGACATTTTCTGAATGTCCGTTACAACTCCCCCATCTGTTTAATTGTTCTAATCATTAATTTCTGCAATAGGCTTTTACATTGGCTCACACATCTTTTCTCCCCCAAGAGCTATTTCCGAGATCACACTCTTCCTGACGTTTTGCTTTCGTCTGCCTCTCTGTTGATGCCTTTGCCTTATGGTCCTCCCATTTCTTGCTGTCCTCAGCCAGGGCTCAGGGCATGTTCCATGCGGCTCAGATGTCCTCATTCCCAAAGCGTTTCCAGTGCAAAAGGTTGGCATGCCATCTCCTTGGTGACTTATTTCAAGACCATGGCAATGGCCATCCAAACCCCAAATGGGGAGCAGCTTTCAGGACAGCAGAGTCAAGCAGGTGTGGCCAAAGGCTGTGGGGACCTGATATGTCCTTTGTGTCTCCTTCTGAAACTACCAGCTTGTTAGGCTGTGAACAAAACATCTCCATGGCAGCTCAGCCTAACCTGCCACAAACCTGAAGCGCGACCTTCAGAGGCCCAAGCATTCTGAATTTCAGTGCACCACACAAAATCCAGAACTGCTTAGCATTTTACTGCTTTTATTCCTATCACAGGAGAGCAATACTTCTCAACCTTTCTCCCATGCAGGAGAAACATCATGGTCATACCCAGATTTTAACACACCCTAGACCAAACTTGAGGGAGGATAAATCATTAAATAATCTAAAATCACACCTATTAATGGCTCAACATCATGCTTATGTTGAAGCATGATGGGTTTCAACATAAATTTCTTACATTTTGGGTCATGCCCGTTCCCCTGTGTGCTAGTTATAACTCCTCCTCTTCCTCTCCCCCTCAGGAAAGCAAGGTGAAATGTAACAGAGGTGAACATTGCTTTAGAGAAAACTTTGAATTTGCTGAATTAATTTTTCAAAAAAAGAGTAGATTGTTTTTTTTAAGTGTCATATCTTACCACTTATCATTAAGAAATTCCTTATAGTTGCATCTTATGCCTAATGAAGACACACCCAGGATGTGATAACACCTGTGCGTGGGCCACGTAGAAAGCAGAAGGCAGGTAGCTAAAACCTACCTTCTGTTTGCTCACCTCTGTCCCCTGCCTGAACTCACACACTTAAAGGTCCAAATCCCATGGGGTCAGCCCCCATGTTCCTTGCTAAGAGATAAGAATAGGCAGCAGGGTATGCCTGTAATACTGGGGGTCGGGAGTCCTGGTATAATAGCACAAACACATCATCAGACTGACAGGTGCACAAGCAGAGAGCACCCTGGGTGAAAATACATTCACAGGAAGACATCTGACCAAACCCAGGGCTCCTCGGTTGATATTGCTCAGTTTGGGCATGGGGACGGACATTTCCCTCTCATTCTAATATGAGCATTTTCTTGATGCAGAAAAACCTATACCTGCTGAACGCCACCGAGGGTCTAGTCACAGGCAAGAAGCTATGCAGTCACCGGTGCTTCCTCCTGCCCAGAAGTGAGAATCCTTTCCTTTAAAAATGAGTCTCCGCTTGCTGCTGAGGGCATTGATGCCTACATTGTTAAGCCACACGGTGGCACATGCTGTGGTGCTCGGTAAAGATCTGACATGCCATTGTTTTGCAATTAAGTTTTAAAGGGTGTTAAGCTTTTAAGTAGGTAACAACGTTAAAAGAACTGCTTAGAATCTCAGAGACCTCATATGCAGGTTAACTAGTGGAATTAACTAAAATATAACGCCTTAGTTTGAAATATGGTAGCAATCATACTTGGGTAAAAACTACTGTTTGAATTTTAACCCTACTATTCTGACTTCGACCTTCACTTACTTGCTTTGTTCATCGCGCAGTGGGCTTAGGGAGGATGAGTTCAAGTTCTGGGCAAGGTTACAGGCAGAACTTTCTTTTTCATTAAAGAGCCAGCCCTATGTACACTTAGTGGTTATCTCGATGCTGGCCTCGAAAACAATGCTGTTCTATCCAATTAAAAAAAAATGCACCTGGCATGGTATTGAGACTGTGGGTATATCTGGTCTCTGGCCTACAAGGTCAGACAGCTAAGTTTATCTTCATTCTTCAAACGGGCTAAAGCAAACTAGAAAGCAACATTTTATCTAGGAAGAACAGCAGAAAATTCCAAAGAACAGTTTGTTTTTAGAATGGGGGTTTTCCTTCTCAGAACCTTTAAAAAAAACTCCCTCCCCCTAAAGCCGCACAGTCGTGTAGGGTCCGCCTGCGTGTGGTACTCTTGCGGCTGCCCTGGCCAGGTCAATAAATTCTTGTTTGCTTTTTAAAATAAATTATCAGCCTCCGGTGGTCTTATTTTGAACCCAGGGTTCGACCCCATAACATTTGGAGGCCCCCAGCGAGATACCCGAAAGAGAGGAGAGAGGGGCCCCCCAGGGGCAGGAGGCTAACCCTCACGCAAGAGGAGAAAGGAACCCCCCGGAAGGGGCAGGAGGCTTGTCCTCCACAGGATGCTCTCCCTCCTTTCGGGGACCTTAGCCGGAGAAGCTGCAAGGATTTTTTGAAATCAGGGAGCCTCCGGTGGTCTTATTTTGAACCCAGGATTCGACCCCACAACAAGTTAATTAACTAAAATATAGCGCCTCAGTCAAGGCTCCTCCTTTTTCAAAAGTAAAGGGAACAATTGTTCTTATCATGAAGGTTTTGGTGCCTCTCCTACCTTTAGATCAGGTTCCCTGGCGATTTCTGTTGATTCCTTGGTGGTGGGAGTGTTCATAGAGACTTCACTGTAAACAGAAAGTCAAACTTAATTCATCTTGTACTTTGCCCTTCCATTAATTTTTCAATTCTTCCTTTCAGACAAGTCCACCAGAAACCCATCCCTCTGCCAAGTAAGTACTATGGAGTCATGAAGGGTAATATCGGGTAGTGGCTCAGGCTTCCTGTCTGAGTCACCTGGGTTCTGACACAACATTGCCACCTCCAACTGGAGGGTCTTAGTATCCTGGTATCCCCTTTAGCCTGTTTCATCTGTGAAATGGGGCCAAGAATGTTTTTCAAAGAGTTGTGTTGTGGAAAGTAGATTTGAGATAATTTTTACTTTTTCGTTTTTAGAAGAATCAAAAGAAGATTAATTAAAACAATATTTAGAAAGTACCTGGTATAGTGCTTGGTACATGGAAACTTCTCAATAAATAATAGCTATTTAAATTAAGTGTAAAATACATTTTAATGATCACAAAATTGATCTGCAAAAGGTACCCTGAAAAGATTTGGAAATTATCTGGATAATTTTTTCAGGCAAACATTATATCACCCTAAAAATATTATACATGAATCGGGTAAGTTAGGCCTACAGAACATTACTATCCAAGCCTTGATTTGCTTTCTATTTAACGAAGGAAACAAACAAACAAATTCTACCTTACATGAATAATTTGGAAAATATTCCAAAATAATCAAGATTCAACAAATTTAAATACAGAAAATAATTGTTATATACCAAAAACTTTTGTGTGTTTATACTGAATAGAAATAAGATCTTTAGGTGGTAATCCAATTTTGTATTCATCTTATATGAAATGTATACTAAACATAATGTTTTAAAAATTCTGAACACAAAGTGAAAATGGTTGGGCTGTAGAAATTCTATGTTTCACTGTGTAAAGTTTTATGATACCTTTTATTGTTTCCAACCCAAAGTCATTTTCTCACTTGGTAAATACTAGTATTTACTGGCCATCTGCCAGATGCCAAGCGCTGTTCTGGACACAGGGAATAACAGCAGCGAATAAAGAGGAGTCCCTGCCCTTTATGAAGCTTCTATTCTACTGGAGACGACAGACGGGAAAAAATAAACAACCAAATAAATCATATAACGTCAAGTAAATGCTAACGTACTGGAAAGAAAAGCATCGCAAGGGAGCAGAGCATGGGAAAGAGAGTAGTGAGGGCAGCGAGAACCTCTGTTTTAGACGGGCAGTCAGGGAAGGCCTCCTCTGCAAAATGGGTCTGAGAGCTCCCCCCACGAAGGGCTGATGTGAGGACAAGATGAGCTAAGATGTGGAGGACAGAACAGGACCGGCACGTATTTATGGTTCTGAAAATGTCAGCCAGGAACTCCCAATGCCCAAACTGCAGGAACCACCAAACACCTTGTCCGTGTGTGTCTCTCGGGAGTGCTCACTCTCCTTGGCTCCTCCCCACACCCTTGGAGCCGGTCCTTCCTTCAGACCCAACCTTGCTGGGCCCGCCAGGCCCTTCCTGCTCCCTCCTGTTACTCTGAAGGTCCTGCTGTCTCCTGTGAACATCAGGACACTTTGATCGGAAGCACACAGTGTAGCTAAACCTGTTCTCCTGCAGACTTTGCCTTTTAATTAAGGACAACTCTGGTTTCTCTGGTCACCCTGACTCCCTCACCTGCTTTCTTCAAACATGTTCCAGCTATTTCTTCCAATTATATCTGGAATCCAACTCTCACTGCTTCCATTACTCTCACTCTTCCCCATTTGTCCCAGGCCACCCTCATCTCCCGCTGGGCTTGCAGAACACTGAACTGGCTTCCTCCCTCTGCTCGCGCCCTCTTCTATGTCCAGCCCCACAGCCAATGTGATCTTGTTAAAAAGACGTGCAGATCACATGACTGCTCTGTTCAAAAACCTCCAGTTGCGTCCCATACCATGCTTGTGAAAGCTCGAGTCATGTCAAGGGGCCCACCAAGTCCTACCAGCCTGGTTCCTTGATCACCTCCTGCCTGACCTTACCCCTCACTGCTCTCTCCTTTCCTCACTGCACTCAGGGCTCCCTCTGGGCACAGGGCTCCCTGTCTTTCTCTCACACACGCCAGGCCTTGCGTTTGCTGCTGTGCCTTCTGCCTGAAACATTCTTTCCTGGAATGGCACATGCCTCCTCCCTCTCCATTTGCAGATCTCACCCAAGTGTCACCTCAGTGAGGCCTTCCTTCCCTGACCAGCGCATTTACACGTACTATTTGTCAGAGGCTATCTCCGACCCCCTTCCCCACTTATTTTTCTCCATAGCATTTATGAGTAAGCTCCAGGAGGGCAGGGCATTTTGCTGTTTTGTGGACTTGTATACTAGTAATCCCAATGCCTTGATCATACTCATAATCATGAATGAATGAATGAATGAACGAATGAATGAATGAACAAATGAACAAATGATTGAATACCAGCTAAGAATTTTCTCTATTTCGTGTGTCTTGACTCCTAGACTGAATTTATGCCTAAGACAGCAATTCTCAAACATTTTGGCCTTGGCACCATTTAACGCTCTTAAAATCAGACTCCAAAAACGTTGGTTTATCTCTTTCTGTTGATACTGAATATATTCGTTAAAAGGCATTTAAAACACACTTAGTAATCTAGTAAACTCATTGCATGTTAACCTAAATAACATATTTTTATGAAAAGTAACTGTATCTTCCAAACAAAAATCATTCATGGAAAGAGTGGCATTGTTTTACATTTTTTAAGTTCTCTCTAACGTCTGGAATAATAGAGACAACTGGACTCTCCTATCTGCCTCTACGTTCAGTCTGTTGCACTACATTTTTCTGGTTGGAGTACAGGAAGAAAACTGGGCTTCCCAGAGTTTTGTATGTGAAAAAGACATGGAAACCCCCCTGAAAGGACCTTGGAGGTTCCCTGCAGCCTCAGGCTATGCTTTGAGAACCCTTGCTCTTAAGGATTTGGTGGGTGGGTGTGACTTTTCAGTGTGCGTGTACCCTGAAGCAACTACCATGGTGTTGAGTATGGGCATAGTAACTGCTCAAGAAATAACAGAGATCCATTGATTTTTCCAAACCCCTTTTAGGGTTTCCAGAAGCGGGTAGCCCAACTGTGGATGGCCCGTTACCCAGCTTTTCATCGAATTCCAGTGTGTCGGAACAGGTATGAAATGAACTTTTATTGTTACCGGTAAACTGCAGAAAGGGCATGTCTTCTTAGAAGGGAGGGTTGGAGTGTAGCTTGAGTATTTTGGGTACAGAATACTTTCCCCCCAGGTATTAAGACCTTGCTCCATTTGTTCCATTTTGTATTCTAGATACCCTAAATCACAACCTGTGGTTCTTCAACACTAGAAATGTGTTGTTTTCTCTTGTTCCTCCTAGTTTCTAGTGAAACTATGTAATTTTCTCAGAAAGATCTGTGGAGGTATATGATATTAAAACACTGAAGCAGCACAGTAAAGGAACTTCTGTGTCCTTGGGCAAGTCTCTCTAAGCTTTCTCAAATATAAAATAGGGATGACAGCATTTATCCTCCTTGCCTTCAAAGTAGTTACAAAATTCAAATCAAATAACATTTGTGAAAACACTTTGAAATTGTTAAGCACTCCACAAAGCAAAAGTAGTGAGATCACAATGGAAAGGGAGATTATAACTTATTTAGAAGAAAGGAATGAATGGTTCAGGAATCTAGGAGGATTTAGTTCTTAGGTTCAATTTCTAAGGTCAGCATCTAAGGCCAAATTGGGGAGAGGGGGGGAAGAGAAAGGAAAGTCAACTATATAACTCTGTGATTGATCAAAGAAAGCATAAATTCATGACAAATATTGGTTCACATGTAGTTAGGCAAAATGTGACTGTCATGCATGCACAGAAGGTATGGTGTCTTTGAAGGACCATCTCTTGCTTAGCAATCCCCTCTATTTCGCAGGAAGCTGACATGCACTGTAAACCATGGTACGCTGGTGCCTGTGATCGAAAGTCTGCTGAAGAGGCATTATACAGATCAAACAAGGTTTGGCCGCTTAGAATCTCCTATCTTGCCCTCAGCCTATCACAGGCACACTTGTCATCTTAATAAAATGCTAATGAAAAAAAACTACAATAATTATGGGTGCAGGGATCTTTTTCCTTTACTTACTCAGAAGGACCAGCCATTCCCTCCTCTCTTTCAAGCATCTCGCTCTGTGTTCCTCCATCTCTATGTGTCCTTTCATTGCCACGAGGATCCATAAGTTTCTCTGCTCTCCCTACAGTGAGAGAGAAGAATGCTCCAGGGGAGATCTCTAAAAAGCTTGGTGCTACATGAGATTCATCCAGGAGTGCAAAGGAACAGGCTACTTTGGACTAGGGCATGGGATAAAAGGCTGAGATCAAGATGGCACCAAGTACTTGGAAAGAGATTTTGGAAGCATCCAAATCCAATCATGAAGGAACACTAGGGACCATTTGAACAATCCAAGATTAAAGTTTTCTTTATATCGCTTTCTTTCTCTTTTCCTCTGCTGTTTTTTGGGGGGTTTTTTTCCCCCCACTTGCATCCCTTGTCAGGATATGTAATATTTACATACTGTTTTTGCCACCTTTGTTTTAGTCCTAACTCTACAATTAAATATATTAAATGCTTTCCATCATTCCCTTTGTTGGCTTTCCCAGTTATCTCTTTTTTGTTTGATGAAGTTCACCTTGTACTATAGTCTCAGGAAGGACAGTGTTTACATTATTCCCTTAATTCTTAAACATTCAAAACTGTTTTTCATAGCCTGATGTCTGGAGGAAATCTTGGCTGGATATAAAAACCTTGGCTTAAGTGTTGCTCCACTGGATTGCCTTGTTCTACCTGAGGCTAATGTTATTTTCTTGTCCATATATGTAATTTGATATTTTAGTCTAAAACTCTGTAGATATTTTGTTTTTAAAGTTTAATAGTTTTACCAGAATATGTCTCTGAGTGGCTTTCCAGGTCAATTTTTTTTTTTCAGGTTTAGGGAAGCCTTTCAATAAATAGATTTAAGTTTTCTCTTATTTCCAATATGTTTTCTTAAATTATAGTATCAAAGAATAGTTCTGGTTCATTGTTTTGTTTTTCTTCTTCAAGGAATCAAATAACATGCATTTTGGACCTTTTTTTTTCTCTTCCATTCCAACCACTCTAACTCTGTTGTTGTACTTCCTTTTTCTTAATCTCCCCTCACTCCCACCGCTCTATCTTGGGTGGTTTCCATACCTTCACTCAGAAGCTGTTGTCCCTTGGGCATCTTGTAATTGTTTCTTCATTTCTGAGACAGGTTTGTCTTTCTTTTTCGTTTTTAGTCCTTTTAAAAAATGTTTTTTTATTGATTTCAGAGAGAGGAAGAGAGAGAAATATCAATTATGAGAGAGAATTATTGATTGGCTGCCTCCTGCACACCTCCTACTGGTGATTGAGCCCACAACTGGGCACAGTGCCCTAACCCAGAATCAAACTGTGACCTTCTGGTTCATGTGTCGATGTTCAACCACTGAGTCACACTAGCCAGCTCTCTTTATTTTCTTTGCAGAATTTGTTCAACTGTTGTTGCATTTTCTTCCTGGTTTTTGTCCTTTTGTTCATAATTTTTGAATTTATGATTCTAGAATATTTTATAAAATATTTTAATTTGAAATTTTAATTTGGAATTCAGTTTTTATCTGCTTCGATCTAAGTTTTGGGGGAGAGAATTTTCATCAGCTGAGATATTTTTACTCCCAATTTCTACTTTCTTCTTACAAGTACTTTTGAGTAAAATTTGTTTGATAACATTTTTTTATTCACAGAAAACTTGTGGACGTGGTTCCTAGTTCAAGAGTGCCCTCTAGGTTTGATCTTATTGTGTCCCTTCACACATTTCTAAATTCTAAAACATAACATCTTTATTTTGGGCATCAAAAAGTGCATTAAATATATATAAGTATAAAATATAAGTTTATATTTTGTATAAGTATGTAGTTTACTGAAGTGTTTTCTTGGAAAATAATAAAATAAACTTATCAACAATAGAAAAACTTATAACTAAATACTTGTATTTTGAATATGACATAGCTATTTTTCATAATCTTATTTCTAACTTGTGGAACTATAAGTAATACTAACCATAATTATGCTTTTCATTTAATAAACAGGATGGATCATTTCTCATTCGGAAGAGCTCTGGTCATGATTCCAAACAGCCATATACATTAGTTGTATTTTTTAATAAGCGAGTATACAATATCCCTGTGCGATTTATTGAAGCAACAAAACAGTATGCTTTGGGCAGAAAAAAAAATGGTGAAGAGGTCAGTAATTTCTCTTTTAATACAACTCTCTAACAATGTATTGAACTCAATGGCATCATACTATATTAGAGATAAGGAGAAAGGATACAAAAGTACTTGATCTAAGGCTTGCACACACGTTATAAGTAGATAAAATACTATATTGGGGCAGTAATATCCTATGAGAGAACAAAAAGGAGGAAAGACTGATATGACGTAAAGACAACATCTTGGTCCTTTTACCGTGTTATTTAGTGGGGTCAGTCTGATTCAGTATTTTAGTCCAGGAAACATAAAAATCAAGGTTGAAATGTCAACTAGAATTAATGTTATAGAAATCAAGATCAGTGTCCAAAGCTCCTAAGTCAAGAATTAGGATATCAATTCAAATACAGTACCAAGGTGGGTGACCAGATAAGGATCAGAAGAGATGCAAAAACCTGAGTTGAAGCATTAGACTATACGTTTTTAGTATTATTAAATATAAGAAAGGCCAAGGTCTACCACCTTGAAAATTACAGTCTTTGTTAAATTAAACTTTTCGTTTTTATTTATTTATTTATTTTTTGGTAGAATGTCAGCTGGGACCTCATAGCTTTGACTAACTTGAGGAAATGTTAGGAGATGGGGGAGTGAAGTTCAAAGTTAACATAAATACCAATTTATAATTCATCTGTGTTTCCTTGCTCTAGTACTTTGGAAGTGTTGCTGAAATTATCAAGAATCACCAACATAGTCCCCTGGTTCTTATCGACAGTCAAAATAACACAAAGGATTCCACAAGACTGAAATATGCCATTAAAGTTTCATAATTTTTTAAAAAGCTCAACATCATTGCTTCGGATATTTGCTCTACTTCTCCTTTTAAGAAAAAGTCCCCAAGCTTCATATTTTGGATGATGAATCATCCAATAATATAATAGAAGATGGAGATAGCTATTGGAGTGGTCATCCATTTCTTTAGAAGAAGCTCACATGGACTTGTTCTGTTGCCTGACCTGATGAACTATTAATATCTAATGAGATTGAATTATCGTGCTATTAATATTCTCCCAATAAATGTTTTTATTTAAAAGAAACATGTGTAAAGTATTTTCAATCATGTGAGAAAATAACACTTTATTCTCAAAGTAAGAAAAATGTAATCTTGGATAAAACAAAAGCGGCTGGAAACTTGGGCCAGTGCACTGCTCACGGGTGCACTGATGTAACCAGGGCATCTACTGACAATGCTCAACAATTATGTCTCGGTTTTTTTTATTTGTAGATGATAAAATACAATGTTTAGTTATAAGTACAGATAAGGGGTGTGTGTTGGTTCTCTTGTGTGAGTACTCCCAACTGTGGGAGATATACAAATGACCTTTCTAGAAGTTTCTGTCCATAATTATGTTAACTTTTATTAAATAATTATACTCCCTTTGATATGTATGTCTATTATATGGACCCTAAACTTGATATGCAGTTCAAAGTAAGATGAGGACAAAACAAAACTAGGGAACATCCCACAGAACAAGGGAAGAAAGCAAAGACTGATGAGCACTAAGGAATAAAAGATATACCATTGTGAGCAGCCCTATCCAAGATCGTAGCTCATTCCAGAAATGAAATATACTTTGACTTTAGATAGCATTGAAATTATACACTAAGATAAATCTAATAATGAGGAAGTATTTGATCACTGGATAATATAGCAATCTCCGAAATGATTTTGAAAGCCTAAAAAGTAATGATTTTAGCATAACCCAGACTCACCTGTAAAGTGTATTTTTAAATGTCATATACTGTCATGATGACTATTTATGAGTTGAACTGTGTTCTCCCAAAAGGATATGTTGAAGTCCTAACCCCCAGTACCTCAGAATGTGTCCTTATGGGATCTTTACAGATGTAGGTTATTAGGGTGGGCCCTAATCCAATATGATTGGTTTCCTCATAAAAAGGGGGAATTTGGACACAGTCACAGAGATACACAGAGGGAAGACGGAGTGAAAAGATACCCAGGGAAGACACCATGTGAAGGCAGAGGATTCAAGTGATGCACTTATAAGCTTAGGCATGAAGATTGCCAGTTAACACCAGAAGATAAGAAGAGGCAAGGAAGGATTTCCCTACAGGATGCTGAAGAAACATGGCCCTGCTGACACCTTGACTTCAGATTTCTAGTCTCCAAAACTGGAAGACAATAAACTTGTTTTTTAGTCACCCGACTTGTAGTACTTCAATATGATAACACCAGGAAACTAATATACATTTTGACAATGAAATCAGATACAAATGGGTTTTGGAAATTTTGTTTGGAAAGCTCTTGCTTCCTTCTAGAAAAACAGTACAATCATTTAGAACGTACTAAAAGAGGTAAGTCACCATTTAGGGGAAAACTCGGTTTATCTTTGTAAAACAAAGCATTCATTTATAGTGTCTAGTATGACCTTTCTAGTTCATCAGTGTACCTCAATGTTACAAGGGATTATTTTCTACTTAAGTAACTCCTCACTAGTTCCTTTTGTTACGACTGTGATCCTAACTCCATAACCACCTCTTCTGCCCCATCACCACTCTACTCTTCCAAGTGGCCTATTCCACCCAGCTAAGTGGAAGTGTGTAGCCACGAGATTATATTAATCCAGTTGGTTGATATTCACCACTGTTGGTGGTTTTCTTGGAGCAGAAGCTATGAGAATTTCTTGGAGATTAAGCCAATCTCTGCCAAAGGATCCACTCTTCTACAAAACTGGGAGAAACACCTTACCCAAGACAGCAGTCTCCCCCACCCCTCACCACTGGAGGGTGGCCCTCTATACTTCTCTAAAACCCTCCTCTGCAGGTGGTATAGGCTTTCCTATCTATAAAGAGGTAATATGCTAATTGTCCATTTATGATGTCCCAGTTACGACCAATTTGCATATTGACAGACCAGCAGGAGGCTGCACGCACAGCAGGGGGCAGAGGGTGAGAGCCAGTTCTCAGGGGTCTGAGGAGAGTGCCTGACCCAGCCCGGACTGCAAAGAAGGAAGAGGTAAGTGGCCACCAGGAGATCTTCCAATCCCCTTGCACAGACACCCTACCCCAGCCCCCACATTCCTGGGGGGACAGGGAGGCCGACTGGATGGGGAGAAGACCCTGCCTTGGGGGTAGCTGCAGGCTGAACCTCCAAGTTCTGATTTCTTCCCCCTGCCACCCTCCACCAGGGGCACCCATAGTACGCAGGCAACCTGTCAGCACCCCCGAGGCACCTGGGGCCCATGGCCTGCCACTGCCAGGCCCCGTCTGCTGGGGCCAAACATGCCTCTCTTTAGGTTTCATAATCCTTATCAATCTATCTGCAGGCTTGATTCCTCTACCAGATGCCACCACCTGCTCAATATAAGTCTTCTATGGAATACAAGTATGAAAAGTGGGATCTACCAAAAAGGAGTGTATTTAATCTTACACTCAGAAATACTGTATATCACTGTTTTGTGTGTGTGTGTGTGTTTTTCCTTTTGGCAGCTCAATACTTTTATTACAAATGGGTCTTCTTTTATTGTTTCCTATGATTCCTGTAAGTGTTCACGAAAGCTAATTTTCAATGTACTCCTTTAGATTTTCAAAATATTGAAATCAAATTATTTGCAGAGTAATTTAGTTTCTCTCCAAGTTTTTCAGTTTGCTTTTCTATCCTTTTATATTAGATAATTCCCTATCCTTTTGATTTCCTATCCTTTTATATTAGATAATTGATGGTAGCAGGTATCTATGTTGCACTCCTTAATTGAAAGAAGCAATTTGAGTTGTAATCTGAACATAACCTGACTTTTGGTTGAAGGACTCTAAAGTATTAAAAAAGAATTTCTCTTTTAACATATTATACCTGTCTTTACTAAGAAAGAGGTGGGTGTTGTTGTTTTTTTAAGAACATTCTTGATATTGACCAAAATCATGAATTTTAAAATTGGTGCGCATTATTTAACACTCTCCTTACACTATTCCCCCAAAAGTTTACAGTCATAATAGTAATATTCATTTTTTAAAGAAAGCAGATTCTTAAATTTGGGGCATTTATTATAAAACTCTTTTAGACACCAAACTAATCAAACAATAATTCCAAGAAGACTTTGTCAAACACTGCTCCCAAGCTACTATTTCTCAATTTTCCTGTTATTAAGGGAAGCATACTTGAATCAATGAACATCAAAATAATCAAGCTAATGCTATTTCAACTCTCCATTATAAGGAAATTTTCTGCTAATGTCAAACTCCTAACCAGAGACAAATAATGCCCTGAAAATCCAACAAGTTTTGCTCGATAATGAGTCAAGGATTTTGCTGAAAACAAGGACCCTAGAAAATTGCTATGGTAAGGAACAGAGCCAATACCTAACACAAATAGGACATATTCCAAGTTAAGCAAGCAGCTGTCAGTGGTGAAAAGGGAACACTATTTTTCAAAAGTCAGAAATTAATATCCCTCCCTAAGTTGCACTGCCCTCAGCCCACAAATGACCTATCTACTTCACCCAAGTCATTACTTTCATTACATTTAGTTCTTCACTTTTAAACAAACACATCAACATTGGAAACCTTACATACATTTTGGTTTTTATAGTTTGTAACTTTTATATAGGTGATGTATATCACAAGAAACTATAGTAAACATCTGTTTTTAATAAAAATCCTAGCTTAAGAGCAAAATTTTGAGAGATAGCAAAGCCTGGTCAATTATTTGATGGGCTAAATTTGGCCCACTGCCTATGTTTAAAAAATATTAAAACACAGGGATAGTCATTTACTAATGTATTATCTATGGCTGCTTCTGCATTATGACAAAGTTAAGTAGTCATGACAGAGACTAAATAGCCTGCTAAATAGCCTACGAAAGCCCATTATGTATTATCTGACACCTTATTGGGAAACCTCACTGATCCCTTAACAAAACCAGTCTTCTATATATAAGGCTAAGTGACTGACAGTCCATCCGACTAGCTGGTATATATGACGCGCACTTGTAATTTATACAAACATTGACTCGTGCATGCGCGATACATATAAAGCTCTTGCTGGTGCCAATTGCATACGTGTTTTGATCTCACATTATTGAACGTGAATTTGGTTGTTTTTGTTGACATTGAACATAAACCACATCACAATTTTATTCATTGACTAATTGACCAGCTGGTACATATGATGCGCACTTGCAATTTAAAGACAAACATTGACTCACATATGCATGATACATATAAAGCTCTTGCTGGTGCCAATCACACACGTGCTTTAATTTTATAATACTATATTATATATACTATTTAGACATGTAACTTTTTGCAGTAACATAATTACCACACAAATCTTTCTTCTAATTTAACCTTTAAAAGACCGCATTTTAATTCCCATAGTGGGTCTCCCGGCCTGAGCTTTTTTGTGCATTTAAATTCAGCTCTGCAGGCATTTACTTTTTTGCCTCTATCTTATCTATTTTTTGAGTTATTTATGAAAAGTAAAAACATTTATAAAGAAAATGTATTATTTATTATTAAAGTTATCTTTTAACTTTTAAAAGGTTAATCCGATAAAGATTAATTTCCTTTCAATGTGCACGAATCTGTGCACCAGGCCACTAGTTTAAAAATAAACATTGACTCGCACATGGTGATATATAGAAAGCTCTCACTGGCACCAATCACACATGACACCAGAATGTATCTGAAGACCAACTATTGGTACAACATACCTCTGAAGCTGAAAGAAAGTGACATTGACAACAGAATGTCTTAAGACCAACTGTTGGTACAACATACCTCTGAAGACAAAAGAAGCCAGTGTCATTGATATTAATAGAATGAATCTGAAGACCAAATATGTTTAATCAATTTCAGCCATTGTTCTTATCAATGCTGTTATATCATGTTTTTGTTTTTATATAATTGTTTTTGTATCATGTTTTTGTTAAATCATGTTGTTAATCTTTCTTCTAATTTTCTTAAAAATTATTATATTTGACTCTATACTACTGAATGCTTAGATGGTAAACTTTAAAAATTAAAAATTTTTTTGCCCAGCCAGTGACTTAGAGGTTGAACCAGTTCAATTTCCAGTCATGGCATATGCCCAGGTTGCAGGCTTGATCCCCAGTGTGGGGTATGCAGAAGGCAGCCAATCCATGAATCTCTCTCACCATTGATATTTCTTTTTTCCCCTACCTTTCTGAAATCAATAAAAATATAAAAATATATTTTTGTAAAAATTTAAAACTTTTTGTAGTGCCAAATAGTGAGGCCCATATTTCAAGGGAGATGGATAAATAGGGCGGTGGGGGGAGGAGATAAACATTTTTCCTGATTCAGAAATTAGATTGCAAAAATAAAACTTACTCTTCTAGTTGTAATAAGTACCTCAAACTACTGAATATTGTATTTTGTAAAGGCATCTTTAGCTCAGTTTCAGCAGAGAGAAAAGAAATAATAGAGGGTTTTTTTTATTTTTTAAATATATATTTTTATTGATTTTCTACAGAGAGAAAGGGAGAGAGACAGAGAGCTAGAAACATCAACCAGCTGCCTCTTGCACACTCCCTACCGGGGATGTGCCCGCAATCAAGGTATATGCCCTTGACCGGAATCGAACCCAGGACCCTTTAGTTTGCAGATCGACGCTCTACCACTGAGCCAAACCGGTTTTGGCATAGAGGGGTTTTTTAATTATCCACTCTGGCAATAAAGTAGCTCTAAAAAGGTTTGGCTCCTTCAGAATAATCCATGTTAACAAAATCAGAAAAAGTGACTACCTAGAGTGCCTGAGGCATGAAGTGTTTTTAAACTGCTTTTAAAACTTTAAGTAAAAAGTATGTATCTCAACACTAGATTTACTTATTTACTTATTTTTACTGGTTTGGCTGTTCTGAGATATATTTTTAAAATTTTACTGGGGTGACAGTGATTCACAATACCATACAGGTTTCAAATGTACATCTCAACAAAGCATCCTCTGCACACAGGTTTCAAATGTACATCTCAACAAAGCATCCTCTGCACACTGAATCATGGGCACCTTGCCCAAAGCAGTCTCTTCCCATCCTCATTTATCCCCCCTTGCCCATCACCACCTACCTCCCTTTCCAGCTCTGGCTATCACCACACTGTTGTCTATGTGGTATAAATATGTTGTTCGTGTGTGTGTGTGTGTGTGTGTGTGTGTGTGTGTGTGTGTGTAGGGGAGGGGTGGGGATTTAACCCTTCACCTTCTGTCAACCATTCCCTCAAACACCTTCCCCTCTGACAACTATCAGTCTGTTCCATCTAACCATGCCTCTATTTCTATTTTGTTCCTCAGGTAATGTTGTTCATTAGATTCCACATATAAGTGAGACCATATGGAATTTGAAATGTATTTTTATAGTGCTTCAAACATTGGCAAGATTGCTCTTTCTTTCTCTGGTCAAAGAGAGTGATGCATCGTAATAGATCTATTCATAACAACAGAGCATTTCAATTGTATTCCTGTTAGTTTAATGAAGGGCATAAACCTCCCTGTTGGTTTCCTTATAAGCACAACCATAGTAAAATTATGATGTTGCCCTTCTCAAACAAAATTTTAAATTTCCCCTGTGATTTGGCAGGGTGGGGGGGAGGCGGGGAGAAGCCCACACTTTATTTTGCACTAGAAAACAAACCTTTAAAATCTAAGTTATTTCCTAATAGAATAAAATTCCCATTCAATTTTAGCACAGCAGGAAATTGTATAAACGCAAACTTAAATTTAATTGAAAACATCCATTAACAATGAAATTAATAATGTTTACCATTCTTTAAACACCATACACATTATTAATATACACTGTATATTTCCAATCAACTCCATTCTTAGGCTCAATTTAAGAAACACAATTTTAACAGGTTTTATACAAAAAATACTTCACTAAGAAAGTAGACAAAATGCACAAACACAGTACATGTATAATGTGCATAGCAAGATTAGCTTGAAGCATCTATGTATGGCTTTCTTTAAAATAAAATTATTTGGGGAATGGCCCATTTGGGACCTACTGTTACAATTGATACATGTAAACTATTTCACATCTTTTAGGCACTTATTAATAATAGTGTTTAATCTCGGGGGGGGGAAAATGTACCCCCAAAAGAAAAAATTTTACTTCTGAAATAAAAACCAAGAAAATAACATGGGTAAAGTCTTATATATTCCTTTTAAATTAAACAACCAGTTTTATTAGTGCATGCACAGAACTAAATTGAAAAAAAAATAAACTTTTATATCAAACTTTCTGTGCAAAATTTACACAACTGAAAATTACAAAAATATGTACAAGGTTTAAGTTCTTTGTTATGTACAGAAAAGAAGCCCTGAAGTTTTCATTCAACCAATGAAAATGTCATAATACTTGTAGTAACAATGTAACAAAAAATTATATAGTATATAATTTTGCAATAAAAGAACTCCATTATCCGATTACCCAACAAAACTTGATCCAAACTTACAAACTGAAAAGTTTAAACTGATGATTCTGTCCTCACAAGGAATATATCCATTTTTAAAACTTTTACCTCTGTTGGATATGTCCCTTAAGAATCCATCCTGAAGTTTTATGCACCACCACTGAATACATTATTAATGCTTATTTTCAACTGCCAACAGTAAGAAAATAATCTGCTTTGGGTTATGACATACTGAAAAGATGCTAACAAAAATGGTTTGTCCCAATGTGGAGACATTCAGACACTGATTAAATACAGACAAAAATATTTTTCACTTTACTAATTTTGCTTCAAAATACTGTTTCTGTGGTTTTAGGTTTTGAGAAAAACCATTCCCTTGAAAGTGTTTCTACATTCTACTCTTTTTCAAGGGATGGCAGCCAAAAAAAATTTTGGCAATTTGGTTTATGGGGGACAAACAATTTAAGTCAAATAATCATAATTTTAAGTAAGGGAATCACTAGAGAATATAATCAACAGAAGTGTCCAAGTTCTTTAATTGGACATCATCCTAGACCTGGAGAGTTTAATTCTTTCAAGGCTACCCGTCTACTGCAATGTTTGAGATTGCCATTTAGAAAATACCTTGCAAGGAAGTGTGTTACAATCTCTGACATGGGCCACAGCTTATGAGAGAAAAATAATTAACTTATCACTGTCTTCAAATGTTATGAATTGTATTGTACTGAATTAAATGTACTCTCAAAAGAACTATATATTTAGTTCTTTACCCAAACTTTCTTAATATATCCTCACAAATGATGTGAAACTCATTCAATTCCATGGTGAAAGAGCTCCAAAGAGGAACTATACTTAATCAGATTCATAAGGCTGGTGGAAGAGAAGGAATGGATGGGGCTGTCAGCCATTACCAAGTCACTGAAGAACTAAATTGGGGAAACATTTTTATCAAAAATTTCTTTAGCCGTAACTTCCCAAGAACACATTTTAAAAAATCAAATCAAGATACATCTGTGCTGTGATTTCTTTCAAAACTTATGTGTGCACTAATAACATTTTCAAACATCACACATAAAACCTTTTCTCTTCTATGGAATATAATCACTTTTGAAATGTTTAATTTCAGGTACAGTATTGATGTAGAAAATGTCCAAATTAAGGTAGTTAAATCCATGGTTTTCTCCTAAGATAATTTTTTCTTTTCCTTGGTAATTTACAGTAAATTATTCTATCATATTCCAATCACGAGTAGCTTCCATTAAATGTCTCTGCCCATGACCAGCCCAAGCATCCTGATTGTCAAATACTCTCCCACAAAACCAGCAGTTAAATGTAGCCTTCAGAACATTTTCAGAGGTAGTTTTCACAATCCGATAATTGTTTTTGCTTGTCTTTTTGAGTGTTAGTTTTAGTACAAATCTTTCTTTCACTGAACTAATAGGTTTCAATGTTTTGTGCCTCTTGGAAAAATCACAAGTTGTTTTAAAAGACTTATAACAAACTGGTTTCAGCAAAGCACTGAGAGTTCTTTCTGACAATGAAACCTTAAGTACATGTCCATTAAATTTGGAAATCGTTTTCATTACATTTACTACTTCTGGTGCATCTGCATCCGGGTGATTCAACACTACAACTGGTTGATTTCTCCTGGGACATTTCACAAGCTGTTTGGAACTAAAGGGGAAAAGTCGCAATGTTCTGACTGAATCTTTTGAAAGCCTAGTTCTGCTGAATCCAAATGATTCATGGACATCTTCAGGTTTAACCTTTTCTTTACACTTTCTATGTAATGTTGTTTTTCTTGGAGGTTCTTGGTAACTATCCCTACACTTCCGTTTACAGTTTCTGTTTCTGGATACACTGCCAATTTCAGAATCTTTACTTCTTACATGAGTTTTTATTCTTGAAAAATTTTGGGGTGAAGTCTTTTGTTTATGAAAGCTTCTTCCAATGGTACAATTTGTTTTACACCTCAATAATCTGGCCTCCGAATGGACACTGGCATGTACTGGTTCCTCAGAAGATTCAGATGTTGCAGTAGAAGTTACCACAATTTCATTTGCTGGCATCATATCATCTAGTAAGAAGGGTAAGGCATCTCTAGAAGAGTCTGGCTCTTTTTGCTCTCCTCCTGCAGTCTGATTAGATGACACACTGTCTTTCTGCGATGAGAATACAGAGTTGCTTACTGACAGATTATTAGCAGCAGTCACATTTAAAACAGGATTAAAGATTTTCAGCAATATTTTTTGTGGGGTCCCTTCAGGGTTCTTTGGCTGTATATTTTGATAATAAGTACTATTTTGGACAAATTTAGGCTTAAGCAGCTCAGTTTTATTTGGCAACACACACTTCAAAAAAACAGCTTGTTTGCCATCAGGCAAGAGGGTAAAAAGAGGTGGTTTTGGAAAAATCTCGTTCTGCTTTTTTGCTGGATCCAAGATATTTGACTTAGTGCTCGGATGCTCAGATATTATAATATTTGGAGGAGGCACAGGTTTCCCTGAAGAACTTGCTGGCGTTTTAATAATGTAAGGGCCTTTTAATGGCAAAGTATTTTCTGAGCTACTTTTTGTGCTCAAACAACTGCCAATGCTGGAACAAAGAGTAGGTGTCAGACAATTATTGTTTGGTTCTACCTTTAAAAAAGGTGTTTTGCAAGGCTCTTTTGCTACAGTTCCACAAGTTTGAGCACTCTCACTTTTTACAGTGTTAACACCTTCAAATTTCCCATTATTTAATGTTAAAAACATCCCAGGTTTCTTGTTTAAAAGAAGAGTAGCAGGTACACCTTGCATATTAACCTGTGGTTTTCCTGAAACAACATGTAGTCCAGGCTTATTAGCAATGTGCAATGGTACAAAAAAGCCTTTTGTAGTCTGAACAAATACAGCTTTTTTTGGTTCTGAATTTACAAGTGGACTCTGCATATGTGAAGAACCTAAGTTTTGTGTAGTGGCACGTAGCTTGTCTTTTACGAGCTGCTGCGTTATTATTGCATCTGACTGAGTCTTAAGTAGTGTGCAAATACCTGAAATTTTAGGTGTCTTCTCTGAATCTCTCACATCTTGTGATACTGACAGCATTTGTGTTTCTTTTCCATGACATTTTAAATTCAGATAATTTGGTGGTATATTAATCCCCATACTATAAGGTGGAATTGAGAAGATGCCTTGTACTTTGAAGTCCTTTGAAGATTCAATAAGTTTGCCTTCTCCTTCATGTTTCTGAAATGACTGGTCACAGTGAAGTGACAGGACTTTATCTGGAGTGTTACTAGAGTCTTGTTTTACATCAGATTTTGTCTTTAATTCATCTTGAAGCAACTGGTTCACTTCAGGTGGCAAAAATTCTGACGCCTGTTCACTCTGAAGAGAGAACACAGATGTGATTCTAGGCATCCCAGGTGACTCAACAAAGGAAATGTCATCATTAGATTTTTCAGTCATGCTCTCTAAATGTTGATTTTCATTAATATACAGGCTGTTTTCATCAATGTCTTGTCCTTTTTCTAAAACATACTGTTCTTCTATATCAACTTGAGTTTTTAAAGTTTCATCTTTAGTATTTAAAAGGCTAGTTAACATACTATCTGAGTTTGAGCTCTCTTTTTTCACTAGTGATGAGACCGACTCACTTACTGGTTGCTGAACAATTGTCTTGCTTGATGAAGCTTCTCTTGGAGGGCTTTCACACGTTGCTATTCCTAAAGACCTACGACGTCTTTTAAAATTATTCACTTTTGAATAATTATGAAAAGGTAATGATCCTTGGTTGAAAGATTCAATAGATAATTCAGAGTTGACATAATTAATACAATAGTTATGCATATCTCCACTGTTGTATGCATTTGGTTTGGTAGTAGAGTTGACTTTATCTGGACTTTTAATGGCAGTATCTGATATCTTAGGGAGACTATGAGTGATATGACTTCCCAATAAGTTAACATTATCTCTTGTTTCAACTTTTGGGGTCAAATTCACCGATGATGTAACTAATTCTGATGATGTTGGCAAAGAAGATAGACTTTTTTCATCACCCACTGTTTGAAGTGTATTACTCATTTGAGATAGCTCAGCTATTTCTTTTTCTGAAGTTTCTTTCCCAGCAGGTGTAGGAGATGAACATGAAAATGTAGGTGCTTTCATGTAAACTGTGTCACTTACCTCAGTTTTTACTCTTGTTAAAAATCCAGTGGAGTCCAAAGACGGCAGCTGCAAATTAGCAGTACTGTCTCTTGCAGCATCTGACTGTGAGCTTGGTGAACATAAATTCTGTTTAATGGTAGGCAACAATTTTATTACAATATGTTGTTTTCCATCCACCATCTTGAAGCCCATAAACTTAGCACTATAGTTAGCTGGAACTGTTATTCTATTATTTTTCACGGTTACCACTGTAGGCCCTTGTACAGCAGTTTTTGAGGAACCAGAAGTAATATTTGATAGCTCTCCAGCTTTATTATACTGTCCAGTGGACAGAAGAGTCTGCTTTTCTGACTCTGACTCAGCAGTTTTATCGTTATTCTCACAGTGCAGTCGTTCATCCTTTTCTTCATTTAAATGCTCTTGAGTAAGACGGCTCTGGTCTTCAGAGTTAGCCTGTGTTTTGTTCATGTTTTTAAGCACTTCAGTGTTTTGTTCTATACTTTGATCACTTTCATTGTTGATTTTCTTACGTTTCCAGAATATCTTCCTAGATGTACCTATTTTGTATCTTTTAAGTATTAGCTTAAGTCCTACTGAAGTCTGTGCCATCTTTTTTTCATATTTATCTTTTTCCAGTTTTTCTTTCGCATATAAATGTTCTTTGTGTAAAGTTAAAACATGTCTCACAAGGTACTCTCTTTTTGAGGTACCAAACCTACAATATTTACAATTGAAGGGAAATGTAACAGAATGAACATTATTAAGGTGCTTCTGCATGTCTCCTCTGCTTAAATATACATGATGGTATTTATCATTTTTATAATGGACATCATTATGTCTATGAATGTGCTGAACAAATGTGCCAACATCCAGGGTGGAGAATGTGCACTTTTCACATTGAAAACTACCATTTACACAATGTGTGGATATAAAATGTTTTGTCAAGTCTAATAAAGTATATATTTTTTCATCATTACAAATGTCACATTTGACTGAAGTGCCTCTATGGATTCGTCTGTGTAGTTTAAATAACTGGAAGTCACTTGCTGAAAAACTACACATTTCACAAGGATAGGAAGGTAATTCACCCTGGTGCCACATTTGAAAGTGTTTTTGCAAATCATTTGGGCTATATCGAGTGCTATCTTGGCATTTTAAACAGTTGAAACTGAGTACTTTTGCAGACATTTTTATACCCGTTTCTTCAACTTTCTCAGACTTACGGAGCAACTCCTCTGTACAGCTTCCAGTCTTCATATTGATAGATTTCCTTGCAGTCTGTGATTTATGCTGAAATAGTTTTCTGTATTTGTCAACTTCATGTTTCAATAGGACTTCATTTGGAATGTTTATCTTCGGCAAATCAATTTTCACATTTTTCAGTTTATAATGAAAACTACTTTCCAAAATTTCTGGCTTAATTACTGATCTGATAGTATCAACTATGTTGTTTTCCACATCATAATCTTTTTTTAAAGTAGCTTGATTTTCATCAGAAAATAACTGTTTCTGTTCAGATGGCATGATTTAACCCAGACAAAATATCCCAATTTTTTTCCTGAAAACTCTTGATATCACTTGTAATTTAAACAGGAAACAATATCATGCCGCCACATCTTCACAACGCCAGGATTTCCCCATATTAACTCACCTAAAACCAGACAAAGAGTTGAAATTTTCATCACAAAAGTTATCAGTAAATTTCATATTTTTAAGCTCATTTTGACACAACATAGGAATGTTGCTCAAATACATGAATAAAAAATTTAAAAATACCTGCTAATTATTTTAAGAACAGCTTACCAAGAAGCAATTGTTTGAAGTAGAAATAATTCTAACATGGAAGTCAGGGATACAAGCTTTACTTCCAACTCTGTTGTGTCGCACTGGGCAAACTTCAATCTCTGTACTTCATCTAAAGAAAAGCACAATCGGAAATGCACCCTTAAAAAGCTCTAAGATTTTTATATTAAGTTGAAAATATTGTTCACTGTAAACAGGATTTTTAAAATCTTAAAAAGAGAGCCCTTAAAACCTTATGTTCCAATTATATATATAATAATGATACTATTATATATATATATATATATAATAGTATCATTAACTTTCTTACTTGATTATTAACTCTATAGTTGTACTAGTTTGTAAAAATTTTAACAAACTTCTCTCCATATTTTCTACTTCCTTAAGTTCCTCAAGGATAATTTATGTTTAAAATAAAAGTTTCGTTAATCTAAAAACAACAAAATGACATTAGCTGCTCCCTCATGTTATCATTACTAACATGTAAAAAAACAAAAGAAATGAAAAAGAATAGCACATTCTCCTGAGGTACTCCTACTAAAGTATATCTACTATTGTATTTGGCTTTTTGTCCCTGGAACTCAGATAGATGGCAGCAAGGAAAGCCCTTGGCAGATTAGAATGCACCCATTACTTATCTGCTTCCATTAATTCAAACACTTACTGATTTATGTTACTTTAGACAAGTGTTAATCTCTGTGTCTCAGTTTCTTCATCTATAAAATAAAAAAATAAAAAATTTAGTACTTCCCCTACCTCTTTCATGGAATTGCTGAGATTAAATAAGAAAACATATGCCAACAGTATCCTCCTGTAAAGTGTTAAATAAATGGCACTATTATTACTGTAATTACTATGTATGAGAAAATAGGATTCAAATTTCAGAGGAGTAAAAAATAATAAAGTAATATATGTAACAATAATTTACTACTGAGATTGGAATCTGAGTATCTAAGGTTCAGTAGTAAAATATCAAACTCTGTATTAGAAGAATTACCTTATCTTATTGTTCTCTCTTTATCACTCCCCACCACCCTTTCCTCTCTCGAGAAACAATGAAAGAATATACTCAGCTGAGAATTTAAAAAATAATAAAAATAAATTTGAAAAGTAAGAAAAAGAATGGCTAGAAAAAAAGTTTAATGACATCTGTTGGTCAACACACATCAACAGAGAGGATTCCCTAAGATTATCACAGTCTCAATAGTGGCAAGTACCATAATCACGTTTTTACTATGCCAGAATCTGAGGGTAGGGTTCAAACATATGAAACTTATTTTGTTGTTAATCCTTACCCAAAGGTATTTTAGAGCAAGTGAAAGAGGGAGGGGGGAGAGACACAGAGAGAAGCGTAGATATGAAAGAGAGACAACGATTAGTTGCTTCCGCACATGCTGGGACCCAGGACAATGATTGGGCCTGTAAGCCAGGTATATGCCCTTGACAGGAACTGAACCCAGACTCTTCAGTCCACTGACCGAAATTCTATCCACTGAACAAAACTGCCTAGGGCAAACATGTAAAATTTTTAAGCACAATTAGTAATGATTCATCTTCATTTGCCGGAGTATCATATTGTGCTCATTCTGGATTACTCATACCCAAGCTTTTCTATTACTACATATACTTAAGAGGAAACTATATCATGAATTTCATTATAAAAGGCAAATTGTTTTTACATTAATATTTCATATGTCCAAAAATATGTATAATGCTAAAAAAGAACAGATTTTGATATATCTAAATACCATTAATTCCATTTCAAAATATCTACACAATTAAAAACTTTTCTTATAAGAAAACACATAAGCCAAAATCTGACAACCAGTGTAAAAATATGACCAGTGTTAAATAACTCAATCAACTAACATTTACTAATAAATATTTATTATAAATGTGAGGCATTTTGATGGGATTCATGGAGATATTAAAAATGTGGTCCCATGCCCTGGCTGGCATTGCTCAGTGGTTAGAGCATCAGCCTGCAAACCAGAGGGTCTCAGGTTCAATTCCCAGTCAAGCGTACATACATGGGTCACAGGTTCAATCCCACCTCCAATGGGATCACGTGCAGGAGGCAACTAACTTATGTGCCTGTTTCATTTCCATGTCTCTCTCTTCTACTCTTCCTTCTCTTCCACTCTCTCTAAAAAATCAATGGAAAAGCCGAGACCGGTTTGGCTCAATGGATAGAGCGTCGGCTTGGGGACTGAAGGGTCCCGGGTTCGATTCCGGTCAAGGGCATGTACCTTGGTTGTGGGCATATCCCCAGTAGGGGGTGTGCAAGAGGCAGCTGATCGATGACTCTCTCTCATCGATGTTTCTAGCTCTCTATCTCTCTCCCTTCCTCTCTGTACAAAATCAATAAAATATATTTTTTTTTAAATCAATGGAAAAATATCTTTGGATGAGGATTAAAAACATAACAAAACAAAGTTGGTCCTTCCCTTATTCCAGCTTACAATCTAAAGGAGGAGGCAGGACAAATACATTAACTAGAGGCCCATGCATGAAATTCACCAGGAGGAGGGGTGTCCCTCAGCCCAGCCTCACTCTCTCCAATCTTGGACTCCTCAAGGGATGGGGGGTAGGATCGGGCCCAAACATCTTTCTCACAATCTAGGACTGCTGGCTCCCAATTACTCGCCTGCCTGCCTTCCTGATTGCCCCTAACTGCTTCTGCCTGCCAGCCTGATCACCCCCTAACCACTCCACTGATAGCCTGATTGATACCTAACTGCTCCTCTGCCAGCCTGATTGCCCCTAACTGCCCTCCCCTGCAAGCTTGATCACCCCCAACTGCCCTTCCTTACAGGCCTGGTCCCTCCCAACTGCCCTCCCCTGCTGGCCACTTTGTGGCAGCTATCTTGTGTATACATGGAGCAGCTATCTTTGACCACATGGGGGCAGCCATTTTGTGTGTTGGAATGATGGTCAATTTGCATATTACTCTTTTATTAGATAGGATATACTGTTTATTCAGAGTAGACCATCCAGGAACTTCACCCTTTCATTACACAAAGAACCCTATCTAATAATTAGAGGAAATATGCTAATTGACCCTCACACAATCACAAATATGGCAGCACCCACAGCCGATAAGGAGGGAATATGCTAATTAACTGCCATGCCCTCAAAGATGGTGGCACCCACAGCCACAAGATGGCAGGGTCAGTCCCCTCAGCTCCACCGGGGTGGCAGGTGCGCAGCAAGGCTGGGCCCGCCCTTAGGCAGGCCTGGCTGCTCTGGGCACCTGCCTCTAGAGTCCCCTAGTCCCCTCTGCCCGCCAGCCACCCAGGGCTGGCCTGAGGCACAAGTAACCAGGGCCGGCTGAGGCTAGCACTACTGGCAGCGGCAGCAGCAGAGGTGTAAAGGAGCATCACCTTCCCCTGATTGCCAGGTCACCTCCCACCCCTGGGGGATCCTGGACTGTGAGAGGGGGCAGCTGAGGAATCCTTCCTCCAGTGCATGAATTTTCATGCACCGGGCCTCTAGTCCATAAGAATAGACGTGTAATGTGCTAATTAGACTGGACATCCTTCCGGAAGAAGACAGGGCTGTGAGGAGAGTTCAGGTCCCGGGTGCCAGAGGGAAGCTGTACTGGCAGCCGGGAGAAGGCCTACTCTTGCACGTATTTCATACATTGGGCCTCTAGGAGAAAATAATTAAGTAGTATACATGGCAGCCAAATCACATACCACAAAGTTTACCCAGTAAAGTGCATGCCCTTTCCTCAGACAAAACAAAGCTAATAAAAGGAACCAACTTATTAAGAAATCTAATTAGCTTTTACTTCTGTTTCATAACTGCTATATAATTAATGTTCAATGTCAATTTTTTTATTGTTAATGTATGGCATATATAATATAGTATTTGGGGAGTTTGTATATTTTGGGTAGTTCTGGGTTTATTTGCCCTCCAATTTGAAATATGGAGAATCTATTCTATCTTCAACTATGTTCAACCTATAGTAGTATATGGAAGCAATCAAAGATGAAGCCCTGGTAATAAATTTTACTAGGGGTTGCCACCTATGAGGAAAAATATATAGCATGTTGGGGACATTTCATATAACATAATAAAAGAAAAGAGAAATATAATTTTAGTCTTCCAACTTATTAACTAATGCTCTTTTCACTACAACCTAATCTCTACTGATTTTAGCCGGGACCGGTTTGGCTCAGTGGATAGAGCGTCGGCCTGCGGACTAAAAGGTCTTGGGTTCGATTCCGGTCAAGGGCATGTACGTTGGTTGCGGGCTCATCCCCAGTAGGGGGTGTGCAAGAGGCAACTGGTCGGTGTTTCTCTCTCATCGACGTTTCTGACTCTCTGTCCCTCTCAATTCCTCTCTGTGTAAAATCAATAAAATATATTAAAAAAAAAAAATCGCTGATTTTAAATTATGTATGTATTTACTTATTTAATCCTCATCCAAGGATATACCTACCTGTTAATTATTATTTTAATCAGAAAAGGAAGATATTTTTCCATGTATTTTTAGAGAGTCGAAGAAAGGGAGGAAGGGGAGTGACAGAGAGAGAAGCATTGATGTGAGAGAGACACATCAATTGGATGCCTCCCATACCCACCTTAACCTGAGCTGGGGATGGAGCCTATAACTGATGTATACATCCTTGACCCAGAATCAAATTTGTGACCCTTTGGGCCACAGGCTAACGTTCTAACAACTGAGAAAACCCAACTAGAGCTTAAATCTTCTC